ACGGCAGCCTCTTTGATGACGAAGTGATCAGCGATGTGCTGTAGCTGTTTGATACTCCATTCAACTGCAGCTTGTGGACAGCTTTTCGACCATGCAACGACGTATAGGCTGAAGATTAGTATGTAGACATCCAGAATGTGGGGCATGCTATGTGTGTGTTGCTTGCCTGTGCTTCCACTAGGCAGCTTATGTTTTGCAACCGATTCGCAGTCTGTCATTTGTGGGACTGATGCAACAATTTCTTGGACTAAGTTCAAAAGGGCAATTCTTGAGCATTCAGCCTGGGCGTACGCTTCGGGGTCAGAGCTTACAGCGCAGGACGCGATAATTTCCTCACATAGAAGCATGCGTGCTATGCGAAGGACGTTCCACATCTGTGTAATCATGCGATCCGGATAGACGTCGTAGATAGGTGGGAATCCATTCGGTACCAGTCTTACTCCATCAGATATACCCAAGTTTTTGCGCTCAAAAGTCCAAACCGGGTTTGCTTCAAGTGCAATGAGCTCAAGCTCTCGATCAAAATAGGCACTTTTGGCTATTCTTTCTTCCGTTGTCATACATCCTTTTCGCATCGCCGCAGCTAGATCGGTAACTTCGAGCATCAACCCACTGAGCTTCCACTTCGGGTAGTCGGTATTCACAAAATGTGCTGCATGTACTCGTATTTGCCGTATGGCATCGTCCACTGGTTGGCCGGTACTGAGTGAGCATATAGTCGAATTCAAAGAGAGTCCCATCAACGCTCGCATTTCCGTGCCTTCCTTAAACGTCTCTACGCCTCGCAATTTCACTAGTGTGAGTGCGCCTTCGATGTGGGCGTGTCGTGATGTGTTAATTTCCGAAGCCGACTTCATGATTTTCTCGAAGAGATCCAGTAACAGCACTCCTTCAAACGTCGAGGTGGCCCTTGCTACTACAGGGTCTTGCAGCGCAATGTTAATCTTCCGTAATGCCTCACAGTATTTTCTGCGTCCGAGGTCTTTCGCTGTATGAGAGGAAACTTGATGAGACAGGAAGGCAAGACTGACTGCTTCAATGCTAAGGACCAGATGCTTGGGCGCTTGAGTAGAGTCTAGGTATTTGTACAAAAAGTCCCATGTCCGACTGAAATCAGAGACATAGTATGTGAAGAACATATCTCGACCCATGATAAGAAGATCCTGGGGAAGATGACGAACTTTGAGCTTGAGCTTTGTCTTTGGTTCGCCAGCACTTGGTTGCTTCTTAGAAGACTTTACATTTGCCAGGGCTTTTGTCCGTACAGAGTCGGTTTGGTCGCTAATCCGGAGGTTGGTTGTGTCGCGATAGCCGGTACATGCTGTTCCTACTCTAGCACAAGAGCTGCAATTTGGCCGTTGCTGGTCGCACTAGGAAAGTTAACGTCGCATCTATATTGTGAACCCGAACATACCCGTAGTCTTCGCTCTCTGCATCTTTCGCAAGCTTTAGATGGTTTGCCGCGAAACACCATTGAATAGTTTACAGCGCAAGTTACTCTGCCAGGCTTTAGGACTACGTATTATCAAATAATATGAACCTAGCGATGCCGAAATCTTTTCTTGTTTAGGAAATCGAATGTACCAGGAAGACGAAAGTAGTTGCTTGTTGAGTAGGAGTCCAGAATATAGATGATCGAAGCGTGCCATTCATGCTAGTCCTAAGAAGGAATGCATTTCGTGCTGCGTCGACTAGTGCGGAGTAAGCAAGAAAGATGATCTTCAACCAATCACGTAGTGAACAGGTGCTGAATATTGAGACCTGGCTTAGCGTCTGACAGTCCAGACTTACTGACAAGAGGCGCAGCAGCATAGTCTGGCAATATTCCATCCAATTACGATGCACGTATGCATTTTCTGGGTTACACGACCAGGCTTCGCATGTCGCAGTTGCCGGTGCCTATATCGATGTGTTGGGTTCATGAGAGGGAAGTGAAAAGGACTGGAAAACTCCAATGTCACCGACCAGTAAGACTCTTGTCGAGCCCTTCCGGTTTACGAAGCGCTCATGATATCCTTACAAATTGCATCGCGAGCATTCCCACAGGCCATCTGAGTTGAATGTATTGGTAAAGCGAAACTGAAACATGCGTTCGTTGCACGCGATCAGTCTAGAATTTGAATCAACGAGAAGCCTAATCGCTATCATCGTATTTGTTTCCAACCCCAACATCACCTAGTAGGATATCGTCAGGCGCCGGGCCCCTATAATTCCTCACCCATTCTGTCTCCACGCGGAAGAAGATCCATATCCATCTTCGCAACACCTCCAGAACCTCCATCGTAAAGATACCCCCTTCTAAGTCGTTGAAATGGTCCAAATGCACGCTGAGTTTCAAACTCCATGTACACCTCAGCATTGCATCCACCACAATGGCTGCATAGTAGAACTCTTTGGCATGGAACCAGCGATGCCGTCTTAAACCCCATGGGTAGTCGGGACTATCCCGAGTACGGGCATTGGAGAAGAGGGTAAGGTCCCAATCCTTGGCTACATCCCAGTAGAACGAGTAGCCCGAGTTTACCACCACAGCAACAAGCCACATACGGAACAGGGTCGCTTCCGAAACGCCAAAGCGTGAAGGATCGGGCGAGCGTTGCAGAGCGCTCAGTATGACGACGGGGAACGCGGTCGAGTACTTCAGTGCGTTGGCCAGATGCTGGCCACCCCATCCCGTCGCTGGACTAATCTGCCCAGTTTGCTTGTTCGCCTTCTGAACACGATAGTACTCGGTGATACATTGCCGGAGACGGATCATCGAGGGTATAGCGATGATGAAGGGAACCCAGAAAGCCCCGCCGCAGCTCCTGTTCGGAGGCCCTGTTGAGCTGTGCGAGGACGAGAAGAACATGCATAGCGAGACGAAAAGGTCTCCTAGCACTTTGGCATAACTCGTCAACGCATCAGCGAGCAATATGTCCCCAAATTTGCCATCATGCGCTTCTGCGATGCCGCCAATAGAGATGCGCTTTAGTGTCGCCAGTGTGCGAGACCGCCCATTGCGACTAACAAATGGCAGCGGCACTACAAAACCGACTACCAGTACTAGAAGGTATAGGTTTGGCAGGATTTCCCAGCCCGCAATGTCTTTTGGGCTGCCGTGTGTAAGGGTCCAGAATAGGAGCAGCGAGAGCGCGAGCGGGATGGAGAGAAAAGTCGCGATGCGGTAGCAGGAGAGGTGGTGCGGTATGTGGCGGGGTGAGGTACGGCCCGGGTAGCGGATTAGACTTGGGACATCTATCTTTATAAGGGTGAGGTACTGGAGGTTAAGGCCCCATGCCCATATGCCTATGCATTCTTTAGTCAGCCGGAGAAAGCAATTACTGGTGGAGAGAAGATTTGCGTACCAAGGACTATAATAAGCGCGACGCGATAGGGTAGAGGAAGTACGCGACTGAAGCCATCGATTTCTGGCTCGACGGCAGGGTCACCGTCCATTTCTCGAATGCGCGGCGGATTCCGTGACGTTTGCTGTGTCCCAGCCTGTTCTTTGCCGTATGATCATGAAGCTTCTCGGTATAAGTCACGCCCCCAATCGATCCCTCTCTTCCCAAGTAACCTGGGTCGTGTTGGCGCAAGGGGGTAACAGATATCGCGGTGGTATCGTGTCCACTTCCCCGACTTGCTGGCACCAAAACAGACTAGGAGCAATTTCACAAGCCACACCGGCCGTTTCGTTACGTCAGCCTGGGCTTCAGCCTCAAGCGAACTAGCTCGATCGTGCCTGGCCGGGTGGGTATTTGGTTTGTGCGACGACCGCGGGAGCTTTGCCTAAAGCACAAGGCCATGACGCGATCATCGCGACGACAAAGTGACGCTCCTCTGTTAGTTCTCCGCAGCGTGTCATTGGGTACCCGACTTACAAAGGGAAAACAACGCCCAGATCTCTAGACTCATTGCACTACTTGCTTCTTCTCCACAAGCCAGGTTCCGTTGACAGTCCCGACTTGTTGCGTCACTCCACCTCGCACGACACAAACCACTTCCACACTTTCACTCTACCTCTCATCCTCCACTTTATCTTTCCACAGCCTCAATCGCCCGAGATACACACAGCGCAATCATGTCACCTCTCTCTGTTCCCAAGATATTCATGGCTGGCGGTGCCGTCGGCTTCGGCTACTACCTCTTCATGCGCCAATACTGGTTCCCCAACCCGTACAAGACACAGGGCGTCCAGAACATTGAGGACCGTTTCTCATCTGGTGGAGGCCACCCTACACACACACCTGCCGGGGGCAGCCAGCGCGGTACGAGTACAATGAGCTCCCTAGACTTGAAAAACTAGAAGTACGTAGAACGGAGTTTGCTAACGTTCATCTGTAGGCTCTGCGACAGCGAACGAGGGAAGGCACGATGGACCAAGCAAGGGTCCCGACTCAGAGCACTTCAAGAAGAACATTAGCGACCAACAGAGCGAGGTATGTGGACGACTGGTTTGAAGAATCGCATTTGTGCTGACACCTGGTAGCCTGTCTGGCCGGGAAAATTCAACGAAATGCAATACAACAACCCCAAGGGCAAATAAGCACCTCCGAATCGATTGAGCGAACACACAAAAGCATGGCAATTTATAGCCAAGGGGTAGCGGGCATCTGATGCATATCATCATTGGCGTTTGGCAGATGAGTGATGCACAATTGCATCCTGTAAATTTTAAAATCCTTATTGCTGCCAGTCGAGCGCTTGGAGGCATCATACAATAATCGAAATGTCACACCATCAAACATGCCAGACTTATCCGATGCTGTCCTGATCTCATTTACATTTCAGTGCTAATCGCTGCGTGATAGTGCTCCGCGAAAAGCCGTTCTTGGGAAGGTATACACGGGAGCTCGCGTGCGATCATGTTGACAATTACACAACGTCACACAACAACATGATGACCAAAGACGATGCAGCAAATGCGTCTGGCAAGATAAGGTTTATATATGAGGATTGTCTGAGTAAGCAGAAAAAATACCAGAACGCCAGTATCTATACCCGTGAAATCACCAGTTCTATATCTTAGGGTTTCCCGTCTTCCTTGCTGCCGTGTTCCTACTCGCATCTACCACGAATCCCACGTGATGGCTCAAGGCCACCAGGTCGCCCGCAGGATCATGCACAAACACCTCTAGGTCCATCCTGCCTTTCTGCATCTTCTTCATCTCAACCCTAACTTGCAGCCACTTGACTCCTTCTGGTGGCAGCGACTTCTTAACATCCAGGTTCAGCAGTAGCGTCGGGTACCAGAAGGGCCCCTCGCCCTTTTCTTTGAACGACTCGACCATCAACGGGAACATGTCTGCGACAAACGCGACAGATGAATTCGTAAAGTTTTCCCCATCGGAAAAGCAAACTACCTCATCGGCAAGATACGCTGGGCTTTTAGCTTCTCGAGGGAAGTAGAACTGAACTCTCTTCGTTGCCTTTCTGAACTCGGCGTGTGGCATTTCGGCTTGATACCTCCAGTTCGGGTCTTCGTCATTCTCTAGCTTCGAAAAGTCTACCGATGGAATGGGTGGTGAGGGCCGATATCCAGTGTCGTGCGTAAAGCCCGCTTCGGTATCCATGTTAGAGTTTGTGACGTACGCGACGACTTCGGTTCGTCCGTCTTGCTCCATGGTTACATGCACGACAGACGTTTGTCGGCCGAGCTTCACATCTTCGACTTTGTATGTGGCAGGTCCGGCTTGCGTCCGTCGCAGAAACTCGACATGGAGGGTTATTGTGTGTGGTTGGTTTTGTTTTGCCAAAGTTGTATTGAAATGTGTTTTGACTACTTCCAGTATGCTGTGAGTACAAGTCTGATTAGTGTCATCCCCGTTACCAAGCACACTGATGCCTACCATCCGGTAACGTAACCACCGTTAGGAACTGTTGCCATTAGTTTACGTGGATGATGTTATCTATGCTGGGGTCAGATCTGACATACCGCTTCCTATGCACCAATCATCTTGTAGGTTGCACGAGTACGTGTTAGAGGAGAGTTTCTCCACTGCAGTAGCTTCTTCCCAGCTCGTCATCTTCAGTAGGCTAATGTCGCGGAACCGAGACGTGAATGGAGAATGCCAAAAGGTCTATATGGCCAGATTGTTAGGAATCGCCAGTGTCGCAATGTCATTGACCTCGGAAGGCCGCCTGCAGCTATCGCACCGCTAACGCCGCAAACGGAAAGAACCTCGGCCGTGGTTCCCCAAGTTGTGGGGAGTTACCCCGGTCGCCTATCGTCACCAGCCGCCTCAATGCGCGGCGCCTGCCCTCGGTAATCCAATGCCAGTTAGAACGCGCCTGGTTATGTCCGTCTTCTTGTTCTGGCATCCTTCTACTTCCACTCCGCTCTCTCCATAAGATCTCTTGGCCGGATATTAATTACCATCACCACGTCGATCATCAACCGCTAAAATGCCTTCAAAGAGCCTGTACCCTGACTTGCCAATTCCAGATGTGGATCTCGTAAGTTTTGTACCCGGAGATAAGCTTATAGGTTGATTTCGCGCTGACGTCTGTCTCCAATCGTAGTGGGCGTTTCTCTTCGAAAGGAAGGACAAGCCATATGCCGATGACAAAGGCATGTTCACATGTTACGGTCAGATGAGTAATCACTAACGGTAATAGTAATCTACTTCGACCCGTACACCAAGCGTTCTTACACCTATGCCCAAGTTCGAGATACGGCCATCACGTTTGGCAAAGGGCTGAAGTCACTCTGGGAGTGGCAAAAAGGCGACGTCCTCGCCTTGTACACACCCAACTGTATCGACACACCTGCAATAACATGGGGTTGTCACTGGGCAGGAGGTATTCTCTCTCCAGCGAACCCAAACTACACTGTTGAGGAACTTGCGTTCCAACTCAAGGATTCCGGAGCGAAGGCTTTGGTGACCCAGCTTCCTTACATCAAGAATGCGCAAGAGGCTGCGAAGCAAGTTGGCATCCCTCTTGATCGCGTGATCGTAATGGGTGATCAGAAAGATCCGTCTTACAAAGTGAAGCATTTCACTAGCATCGTTAACACAGCTGGAACATCGAGATGGCGAAGAACAAAGGCCACCAACCCGTCAGAAGACCTGGCGTTCTTGGTGTACTCTAGTGGAACTACAGGTCATCCTAAGGGTGTAATGCTGACCCATCGCAACATCGTCTCCAACACAATGATGATCAAAGCTGCGGAGGCTGGTAAACTGCAGCCAACTGGCGGACCAACTGGTGAAGGTGATAAACTTCTGGCTTTCCTGCCATTCTTCCACATCTACGGTAAGGTTTTGTTTATATCTTGTCTAGATTATCCCCAACTAACTCTGTGTAGGCCTGACTTGCCTGATCCACCAGAGCTTGTACTCTGGGCTTCAACTTGTTGTAATGCCAAAGTTTGACCTGGAGGACTTCTGCAAGTTCATTCAAGAGCTCAAGATTACATTTGCTTACGTAGTACCGCCGATCGTTCTACTCCTCAGCAAACATCCTTTGGTATCGAATTATGACCTGAGCTCAATCAGGATGATGAACTCTGGCGCAGCGCCTTTAACTAGGGAGCTCGTAGATGCAGTCCATGATAGATTGAAGATTCCAGTTAAGCAAGGATACGGTTTGTCAGAAACTAGCCCCACAACACATACTCAACCATGGGAGGATTGGAACAAGACCATCGGATCAGTAGGCAAACTTCTGCCCTACCAGACAGCAAAATACATGTCTCCAGAGGAGAAAGAGATGGCAGTTGGGGAGGTTGGCGAATTGTGGATCAAGGGCCCCAACGTCTTCAAGGGCTATCTGAACAATCCTGAGGGAACTGCGCATGCGAAGACAGCAGATGGATACTTCAAGACAGGCGACGTTGGATACCAAGACAAGGACGGAAACTTCTTCATTACCGACCGCGTGAAGGAACTCATCAAGTACAAGGGATTCCAGGTACCACCTGCGGAGTTGGAGGGTATCTTGGTCTCGCACCCCAAGATTAACGACGTGGCTGTGATTGGAGTGTACTCGAAGGATGATGCCTCTGAGCTGCCGCGCGCCTACATCGTACCCAAGGATGGGCTTGGCAAGACCGATGAAGATGCAAAGGAGATCATAGACTGGCTGAGCGCAAAGGTCGCGCATCACAAGAGACTACGCGGCGGAGTGAGGTGGGTCGATGAGATTCCCAAATCTGTAAGCGGTAAGATCCTCAGACGGATGCTCAAGGTGAAGGCGCAAGAAGAGGAGGACGCTAAGACCAAGGCGAAGCTGTAGACCGCCTTTACCTTGGAACGTACAATGTATATCAGGAACCACCGTTCCCTTACCACATGTATTCTTGTCCATTCGTATGACTATCAACTTTGTTTTACCATTCCTCTGCTGTCTCCCTCCCACCTCATCTGCACATTGCACGACTTGACAGAACTAACTCTCTACCTATCGATCCTGTCACAAGCCCCCACGAACAATAGCTACTGCGATACTGTCAATGTGCAGTATGAGTAAAGACTTACGCAGTAAGTTGGGTTTGAATACGGACCTACCAAGGTTTGTGGACACGTTCGAACTAATAGTATCGCAGCCCCAAGGGCCACTCCAGCTCTGAGAGCGACAATTAAGCGGAAACCGGATGTTATCGATCTCGAATCGTATAAAGAGAGAGCTGTCAAGAAGCCATTTATACCGGTAACCAAGTCGCCGGCTCAGCGAGAAGAAGACATGCTCTTCCAGATCTCGGTCACGGTGAACTCCAATATCGATGTATTCCCCCAAAAGCTGCGTGAGGCCCTCCAGAAGTCCTACCAAACCGCGTGCTACACGCACATGTTCGCGCTCCAGGCTGGCACGGCACCCAAACATCATCAGATTTATAACATTGTCAAAGGAGAGCGCACCCGCTCGGAGTCACTTACTTTCACCAACACGATCGTCCAGCACAACATCTTCGATCTGGGAATGGCCAACATCAGACTATTAGAGATTCTCACTGATGCTTCAAGGGACAAGCTCGAAAAAAGGACGTTCGTGGAGCTAGAGACGGAGAGCGGCTTACTGAATCCGGAATTCATTGAGCTTCATTCTGTAAGGCATAGAGAAATCGGGTGTGGATTCGATGCAGATGGGTGCTTATCCCTGTACGGCACTTTTATTGTAGAGAAAAAGCTTAAAGAAAAGGTCTAGTATTACCACTGGTGAGATCAAGCTCGAGGATGAGGCTTGATGACGTCGAGAAGAGCCCTGAGGGTGTGCAGATGCCTTTCGGAGCGCTAGACTGAGTGTGAAAGACGTTTGTTACCTATTGGGCTCCTTGACCTTAACCTTGGAGTTACCCAGCGATTGATACGTCTCAGTTGGCTTCAGCCGGGCAAATGAGGATAGAGATTTGGCTTCTGGTTCCTGCTTTGATTTCCGCTTGGGAAAATAGGCTGCAAATATGAACGATTTGCATTGATTATGTTCGTCCAAACGTTACAAAGGTCCCGACCAAGGCAGTTCTGTTCTTGCAAGCGCTCTCACATACCGAAAATAACAGAAATGTTCAAGGAGCGCGTCCAGAAAGCTGATGCGCAATATATTCATTCCAATGCTTGAAAAGTTTGAGACGCATGCTAATGATGTTCGCGGCCAGATTCATCGAGGAAGGCACGTGCCTGCTTACAGCTAGCGCCATCTTGGCAACACCGCACAGCCGAGCCAAAATTACCCTTTCAAATCTGCGACTCTGAACTCATCGACAATCGACAACATCACGACCGTCACGATGCCGAAGGAAGTCAAGCAGAAGTCTGGCCTCATCGTTGGCCTCAACGCCGGCCACAGTACGTCACCCCGCTCGCCGCTCTCGATACGCTCCGATCGCTACAATTAAGAAATTTCGCGGATGGAGGCTAACACAGTCTACAGAGGTCACCCCCAGGACCCCCGCTCCCAGGATCTCGAGGAGGAAGGGTTTCCTCTCCAAGCGCACTGCGTTTGTCCGTGAGATCACCAAGGAGGTTGCTGGGTACGTTGCAGCTCGAACTTTCGCAGGAACTGCGCGACAACCATCGGACAGCGTGCTAACTTGACGTGTCTACAGTCTTGCCCCATACGAGAAGCGCATCATCGAATTGCTTCGCAACTCCAAGGACAAGCGTGCCCGCCGTCTAGCGAAGAAGAGGGTACGTCTCTCTCACCATCACAACAACACGACCGATCTCCAGCCCGCTTGACCACCTCCCACATACAAACAGTTACTAACAAATCACAGCTCGGTACCTTCGGTCGCTCAAAGAGAAAGGTCGACGAGATGACCAAGGTCATCGCCGAGTCGAGGCGCGCTGGTCACTAAACGGTTTCACGATTTGCGGTGGATGAAGCAACACGGCGAACGAGCGACCGACTTACTTTCCGATTTTATCCTGGGTGTTCGGTCTCTTTTCACAACGGGCGGCTCGATACGATCTCGGAACGTCACAGCATACCACAAAAGTATGACACGATTCATCGGAGTATGGCAATGGACAATGGTGGTTCTTAAACGTACCTAGCATGTGTCACTCAAAATCATGAAATGTGACGATTGGTTCACGCCAAACCAACCTGTCCCGGTGCACGTATGCATGCGTGTGTGCGCGTGAGGTGTGATGCGTCAATGATACCTACTTAGCATGGATGTCAAATTCCTACTCTATTGCCCTTATCAATGGCAGAGTAAGGGCCGAGAAATGCTTATATTGAAACGCGCTTTGCTTGGAGACAAGACTGCTCAGGCCTCACACTTCCTTGTGTGTGAGTGAGGCCTCGGGCAGAGGCGTGGACATTCCACCTACTTACGTGACGTCTTGTGTTATTCTTATTGAGAACCTGCGATGCAAGACAGTGCATGAAGTCACTTTAGTGTCTCAATCAGGCGGTAGTACCAATGGACATGACATCCCCAGATTAGTTCTAGGATCGAATGTAATGCATTAATCGTCACGTCTTCCAACTCCGGTTCCCACTCTAAGACGAAGCCATGTTACCCTACTGACTTCAATTATGGCGTTGTCTAGTCGTCCTGACCAATCTTCTCCAACTTGCCGATTTCACGCTTCTCGCCAGTCTCGCCAACAAAGCGGATACGATCGATGCGCGTCTTCTCACTGTCGCCTTCTCCATCTGCGACGAAAAGTACCAGTGAGTAGACGTTCTGGAACTTGACGAACCGAAGTTCGAGCTTGGCCGTTTGTGTCGCCTCATCCCAATCAGATGGCTTCAGCTCAATCGTCTGAGTCGCTGGGATGTCCTCAGCCTCCTCAAAGCCCAAGTTGTTCGCCCGATTTGTCCAGACGTGAATGGTCTTCGGCCGTACTGGCGCCTCGTCGTCGTCTTCGTCTCCGGACACACACGACGTGATCTGAATCGTGTGGACCTTCAAGTTGGCCATGAAGGGGACGTACAGCATAAGCTGGTTGTCCACATCACTCTCTACCCAGTCCTTCTTGCCTTCTGAGCCAGTCGATGCGCCCTTGCCCTTGTTGAGCGAGCTAGGTTGTGATGTCTCGAAAAGCGTCTTGACGGTGCCAAAATCACTATCCGCGTTGAGGAGATCGAGGCCGCGTGGGTCAACGGAGTCGGTTACATCGGTATACCCGCGCGGTAGGCTGGCGCCTATCCACGCACCACTTCCGCTGGTCATTCCGCCTGCACCGGAAGCGCTACTGCCTCCCTTTCCATCGTTCTCTGCTTCTGCGGCGAGGGTCTTGATCGCTTCGGAAAGTTGCTGGGGATTCGAGCCGGCGTACTTCTTTATCTGCTGGTTGTTCTTGTAGATGATGAATGTCGGGGTGCTATGGGATGTTAAATATTGTTCAAATTATGTCGTTTCCATGATGTACATACTTGGTGACATTATAGCTCTGTGCAATTTGTGCTTGCTGCACTGTGCTGACTTTGGTGAAGGTGATTTGTCCGGGCCGTGTAAGCTGGCCAGCTAGTTGTTCGTATACAGGCGCAATGGCTTTGCTCGACGTGTTTTCCTCGTTGTAGACTGCAAGTAACAGGTGTTAGCGTCCGAAGTTTGTCCAGCAGATGCCGGGCCGCGGCCTACAATTAACTACTACGACGCGCGACGAGGAGAGCAGAGAGCTCAGCTGTGCAGGCGATTTGATCTCGACGGTTCTAGACATGATTGTTGTGGTGTATATGGGTCGGTGTAGTTGTTTGTGGAGGAGGCGCGACTTGGACAGAAGCTCTCTAGATTTAGTGGGGGCGGGGTGTTGGTATTCCGTCACCGACGATCGACGTGTAGGGCAAGGTACAACACCTGCAGGCACCGACACCTGAATACGCGGCGAAGCCTCCTCGAAGCTTCCAGAACCACGCTACCAGCTGACACTGCAGCTGCGAACAGTCGAAAGTCGATCGAGTGCCTGCTCCCTCAATATCACGGAAGCCTGCGACAACGACCGTTTGCCGAGTCTATAAACGTTCCATCGCCCTCGACGTCGTCCGAATCAACACCATCGCTATCGTCCCAAAACCGCGTCTCTCGCCGCGCAACCCGGTGATTGCACTATAAACCTTCGCACCTACAAAGGATTGGTAAGCGCCCCTATTGGCGTTCACCGTCCGCGACACTGTGTGAACACGCTCCCTAATCGCCTCTTATGGCAGGCCCAAACAACCTCCTACTCAGTTTCGCCGAAGCAAAGCTCCTCCACATCGCCAGCATCATTCTCCTGGTTGAACGAAGCGAAGCAACCCGAAAAGCACATAGCTGGAACTGCTGGTACTCACGCGCTATCTTGATAGCCAACGCTCCCGCTGCGTTCCTTCTCGCCTTCGGTCTCTATAGACTCATTCGCGCATAATGTCGCACGTCGTAGTTTTCAACTCGTACGCGAGGACTTTTAAAATCCCGACAACGCCCACCAAGTACTTGACTGAAGTCCGGGACGAGGCATGCCAGAAGTTTGGTGTCAACAAGGATCAGTTTACGCTCAAGTCGGTTGCAAGATACTGTTCTACTGGATTACGACTAACCAGGCTCTAGGTATAACAACAAGCCCATTTCCCTATCCCAGCAAATACGGCTAGCGAACCTTCCCCAGGGAGCCCGATTGGAGCTTGTCCAAGCATCGCGATCACCCACCGTTATATCCGTCGCGCTCCAACTTCCCGCAAGCGAACAGAACAAACGCCTTACAAGCAAGTTTGCAAGCAACACTTCGTTATGGGAGATATTGCGACACTTCGAGAGTGGTCAGGGGGCCAACTATAACTTCACTCAGCGGGGTATCCCTGAGATGAGCGGCGCATCTGGTGCTGGCAGGTTACACTACGAGCAACCCGTCATAACGGTCATGCCGGGCCACAAGGAGCAGTCCAACTTTGTCGAGCTACAACAGACTCTCAGCCAGCTGGGTTTCGATAGTGGGTCGGCCTTGCTAAAGCTGTCCTACAAGAACAGCGGCACCCCGCTGGAAGAGGCCATGGCACAAATAACGCAGTACTTCAAGTCTACTGAGCCTGCGTCTGCTGGTGCGGAAGGTGCGCATGCCTCGACGACCGCTCAATTAGCATCAATACCGGATCCTGCTCAGGCAGCTCCGGAGGCGACACAAGTCGTAGCAGGCGAGACTGTTCGTAACAACGAGCCTGATCCAGAGCCAATGGAAGTCGATTCGAAACCGGCTGCACAGCCCGTACAAGAGCCCCATGTATCTACAGAGAACAATGCGACTGAGAACGTGGAGAACATTTCGCCGGCTGCAGCATTGGCTGCAGCAACATCAACAGCGTCGTCTGCACCTGCAGAACCTACTCAATCCCATGCACAAGCCTCCCAAACCTCGTCACAGCCATCCGAACAGTCTCGCAACGTCCAGATCTTTTCTGCGCCAACATCGTCAACTCCACAAGCGGCGCGAAATGCCTTCAACGAAAGTGATTACCTTCCCACCATCGAGCATGCAAAGGCACATCAAAACGCGTTGTTAGGCAAAACACGGAACACGAGGTTGCTTTCCGACAAAGAGCTGGAGGAGCAAGAAAAGGAACGACAGGCCAAGATTGACGCGGCAGCTGAAAAGGGTGGTGCACTTCGCATACGTATGCCGGACGGTGCGCTCATTCAAATGAGCTTTAACAAAAACGATACCGCAGTTGGTCTCTACGACTTCGTTCGTGGGTTTTTGGAGAAGAAGAATGAACCCTTTCAGCTCAAGAACACGAGTCCAACCGGTCGTCTCGTCCTCATTCCACAAGACAACAAGCGTTTAGTGCATGATCTTCGTTTCTTCAACAACGAGCTTATCACTTTCCAATGGGCCGACAATGCTAGCGCTGAGGTGAGGGCAAGCCGGCATACTCTTTCGCAGGAATGGCAAGCGAAGGCTCAGGCGCTCAAAGTTGAAGAGCCAGTACGAGAGGAAAAGGCTCAACCCCAGGCTTCCCAGGGTCAGACAGTCGCGGAAGGCAAGCGTAAGGCTAACATGAGTAACGAAGAAAAGGAAAGCAAGCTGAAGAATCTGCTTGGAAAGGGTTTGTTCAAGAAGAAGTAGGACGATTCGCGAACAGGCATGTGATTGTAGACAGTCATGTATTTTCAGATGAGCATTTCCTGGGAGTTTGATATCGGCGATGGAGCGCTTTCTTTTCTCCAGTGCACTGTAAGTTGGCGCCTGGAAGATAGTTATTGGTAGCAACTAAGAATTTTGATATGCGAAAGATGGTGTATATCCTCGAGACTTTTCTTGAAGTTGTGTGACACGCTTTTTAGGTGGCTGGCTAGCGCACGACGCCGCCTGCAAGGACCAACCTACAGCGACCATCCTACCTCTGCTGTTAACATCTCCACCATAATCTGTCCCATCAGAACGGCTTCTGAAATACTCTCTGAAGATTTGACGGGTTCAAAGTTGACAATAGATGTGGTGGGAAATATGTGTTTTGACAGGTTTGTCGCGCGCCGCGATGTTACCACGCGACGAGCATGAAATGCGAACTTATCTATATACACAGCTTCTCACTCTTGGTGTGTTCTCTCGAAGATTCGGCGGTGTACAAGAGCAAGGAAGTCATGGCCAATGATGGGTAGGTCATAGGTTTCGGGGCTTGAAATGCCTAATAAGCAAGTACATGATGATGCTTTCTACATCGCTCTGGGCATCTCGTCTCTTAGGAAGTAGCCTTCACTAATGATTCGCCTGGAATCTTGTTTGATTATACAATTTGGATCCATTGTGCTGCTTTGACATTCGACTTCGACGCGTCTCTTCTTCCCCAGGGCTTTGATGACCAAAGTCAGCGCGTCGCGCTGCCTGATCTAGCCGCAATCTTCACTCACCTTCACCACGAGTGTAAGAGACGTAGGAGATTCAGGAAGTAGCTTTCGATCTTCTGGTCCTATGTCTCCATCACTCAAGCACGACAGTCGGAGATCTTTACAAATACGGTATGCACGTCGCTTGCACCTACCCAGCACGCACTGATGTTATTACGAGCAGATGAACGCACAACACGTCACCGAGTTGGACTCGGACAGCATGGACGATATCATCTTCATTCGGCTGGTCGAGAAGCCACAAACCCCGAAACCTGGTGGTGGTCGTCCAACAAAGCGCGCAAAGTCCAACGGCATCCCAGCACAAGCTGTTTCCCTCAGCTTAACAAGGCGTGCAAAATCTAGCGGCATGCCAGCACAGGCTGTTTCGCCTGGTCCAGCAACCAAACAGAAGCGCGACAGCAACAGCTCCCAGACGACCACCTCTGATGCCCACCCCAAAGTGTCTCAATCAGAACAGCCGTACACGGAAGAGGAGAAGTTGTTCATGTTTGAGACACGCAAAGCCTTGGAACACGCGTTAGGTAAAGAAGCCTTGGAGGCCCACGAGAAAGTTCTGACGGAGGAGAAAGAGAGCACGGAGAAGTATATCTTGGACCTGGAAGCGGCAGTGAAGCAGCAGCATGGGACACCTGTAGTGCACGAAACCCTCATCCAGGACCAGATAGCCATTCTGAAGGTGAAGGCCGAAGGACACGACGAATCCGCTAGAACAGAAATCAAGCTTCTTCGCAAGAGCAACACGAAGCTTGCAGAGGAAAAAACCACAATTGGACGCTGTGTTCGGCTACTCACAGATGAGAACGTCATTCTCAAGAGACAATACGAAGACGCCAGCACGGAGATTCAGATACTTTATGAACATAAAACAACGCTTGCCGAAGAGAATGCCGCACTTTCGCGCAACCTCAAGCTACTGAAAGATGAACAAGGCACTCACAAGGCCGAGCGACAAGAAGAAGCCTACAGAATTGCAATCAAGGCACTCCGAGAACAAAACAATAAGCTCGCAGATGAGAAGGCCGCACTTGCACGCAACTTTGAGCTACTCAATGCAGGGCACGACAACCTGAGGGCCGAGATCTTCGCCTTGACCCAGGACGTCTGCGACCAAAAGGAGCTCTACAAGAAGGAGATGAACGACTCCGAAGGAGGTATGAAGGATAATGCGCGAAAAAGCAAGAAGCTCACACAAAAGCTGAAGCAGCGCAACAACAAATTGATCAAGGACAATGTCAACCTGTCGAGGAAGGTTATGCAGCTGGAGGCAGATGACTCTACAGAACTTCTTGAAGCACGACAGCGCATCCAGGAACTTCACATCCAAGTCGAAAAACTAGAGCAGGGCTTCCGTCAGCGCGGCGAACAGCTCATCGAGCTCAGCAGAGACTCCATGTCGAAGGAAAATATCAAGATGCAGAAGAAGGCAGCTGTTGAAGCTAGGGATCTGCTGCAGACACGTATGTCTGGCATGTTCAAGAATTATAGGATTCTCTTCAAGAAGAACACTGCTCTGTTGGATAAACTAGTGTCAGTGGCTGAAGTGGGAAGACTCGGGAAAGTAAAAAAGGCTTACCGTCAAGAGATGAAGCTGCTAAAAGGTCAGCCACTTGAAGAGTTATACGAGTTCAAGCATCAGGTCTGAGTAATGTCGTCGGTGATCTGATTTAGCGGGAAGATTGTGTAGCCCTTATGTGAGGCTCTTTGTCACGAGGGTAAAAGCAGATGTCCACTCAGAAAACGATCGCAGGCAAGAGGCTTTCAGTGTATGATGCCAGTCACGTTGTTATGTCAGGGAAGAAGTTCGTTCATAGCATCATGGTGACCGCTCTTTGCATCATCAGATACGTTCATTGACTGAGGGGAATGGATGGGGACGCGAATAATTAGCTAGTCGAGCCCTAATATGGCTACTTCTCTTACACCTTCCATATCCCATGAGCAGCATGTCAGTTCAATGGAGATAGGGTCTGCCGATGGATTCGGTATTTCTGAACAAAATCAGTCTGACTCCACTGTATGGCTGGTATGCAATACTATACACGCCTATTGCGGCAGGTTGTTTGTTCGCCTTCCCGTTGTAAGAACACGATCTGCGACCAACTCCGCACAATCTACAATGTGTTGATGATAGGCCTGGTAAGAAGAACGGAGCTGGAAAAGGGAAGCTAGCAGACGCGGCGTCATAAGGGAAGCAGGTGATGACGTAGGACTCAATGCTCACAGCATGCTTGCGAATTTGTGACTATAGTTGGATCTGTGGTTGAGATAGATGACAGATATAAGTATCATAGGTCACAAGGTGACATGTGTATTTGCCATTTAGTCCACGCGCAGCTCTCGTCCAATTCATCGCAAACCTATTGCACGTCGCTACAAAATCATCGTCTCCACATCCTAGCACTGTTCCTCAATCACAGCACTCTACACACACATTTCTTCACAACACAACACCAAGAAATTCGACCGTATGAGTGAAAACTCTCAATCCGTCGATGGAAAGCAAGTGCCCGCTGTTCAAGTCATCGAGCTCCCTCTCCAGCGCCTGCAATCCGAAATCGAGATCTTGAAAGTGAACACAAAAGACCTTCCGCAGGAGATCAACAACCTAAGAAACAAGGTGCTCGATATCGAAGCCCAACTGGCACCTGCTGCCTTTTCGAAAGCCTTTTCTTCTACTATCCATGATCTTACTACCAAAAGCAAGGCCGCAATTCATACGAAGGTGGGAAAAGTGCTAGAGAGTCAAGAGCTACGAGACAGAGTTTCCGGTCAGGTTGTCAAGCAGATGGAAACTGAGAAGACGCAGAGAGTGCTGCAAGACTATGCGAAGAAGGCTGTTAGTAGTCAATCCCCAGAGGAGATCTTCGAACGATTGCGCTATATGGTGGATGAAGTATTCGTTGGCGTTAACAGGAAAATCGACAAGATTGAAAAGGAGCTCACGGCGAAGATGGAAGTACTAAGCAAGGAGACGGCTAGGCGACGGGAGTAAGGAATTATTAGTGTATCCAGGAGTCAATCTCGAACCGCTGAACACGTTGCCTCCACGTACATGCTATTCACAATAATTTGACTGTTTACTCGCCCACTAACATGTCTGTAACATGTCCATAAGCTTCTAGAAAGACTGGTCGTATATCAGGATATAAAACAACTCCATCTTTGCCACCAAGATGGCAAGGTAAAGCACAAGAGAGACGAGAAAATGGAGAAGGACGAAGACAAGACGAAGGGAAAGACGAACAAAACGGGGGAAGATGAAGAGGAGGAGAGTGAAGAGGGTGAGGACGAAGACGAGCTGGAAGTGGGGAAAGGATAAGATAATGAGAGGAAGACATGAGGTATGCAACCTTGTCAAGAAACGCGCCATAGATGCTTCAAGCGGAACTCACATCTCCATCATCGTGTAGTTCCATATTTAGCGCCACCGAAACCCTCGTTGATCATTCCAAATGCAAGTAAACTAAGATAATTTCTTCCCCTTTCCCATCCATCGCTCATGTTGATGCCTTTCCAGGACCCAATCGCTCAATGCCATGGTATAGTGCCCGAATGAATGACGCCAGTAAATGCCTTGATGAAAAGCTCGCTGAACCAGTTCTGATGCCGCTAAAAACAGTTGTGAAAACAAACATACACTCATAATCACATACACCGAGTAGTTGTAACCCGTTCAAAGCTAAAGGAGTGTCGTGTCCAAAACACCGATAAAACACGATAAAAAAAGGAAAGTCCATGGCAGCAAAGTACCATTTTAGATAAGGGGGCCCGCCATCATAGGGCTGCCCCGTGTGTTGTTTGTCAGTGTTGATTCGTATGCTGCCGGGGAGCCAGATGAAGATCCTGGTCGTGGGCGGTAGTAGCTGTTTGCATACGCAATCGGAGGAGCGGTATAGGCTCCCTGTTGTGGCGGGAGGACTCCAGGTGGTGTGCTGTTAAGCATGTTGCGATTGCTCCTGCGTCGACCGAGGACTGGTGATGCTGGAGCGCCTTGAACCGTGCCGGTAGAGTTGATAGACTCATTCGAATTACTCCTCACATGCTGCGCTGTGGTTGGCTGCTGCATTTGAGGAGATCCGGTAGGGTTCGCCGGACGCTGGAAGCCCTGGGTGAAAGGGTTGGTACGGGCTGGCACGCTAGTGTCTCGTTGACCAAGTGCTTGTCTTCTAGTCTCAATAAGTTCCCGAGCTCGGAGGTTACGCTCGTCTGGAGTCAACCCGACAGGACGAGCGGCCGGCTGTACAGTAGCTTGTACATTTTGCGTAGGCGATGGAGGCGGTCTGCCATTCCCATCTGCGCGCAGGGTTCGTGTAGATGCCTGTGGAGCGAGCTGACGCCGCGACGGCTGTGGTCGTAGATTGAGACGTGAGGGCTGGGGTCTCATGCCTTGTGGTGGGTTGCCAGCTTCTCTTATATTAACGCGAGAGCCTGCTGGCCGCAAGGTAGCTACGGAGGACTGGTCACGGAGAACTTGACGGGAGTTGCGATTACGGACACCGCGTGCCTGCACGAATGCAGCCCAAGGATTACCGCGTGCAGCGAAAGGAGGAAGAGCTGCGCCTTGGACATGCAAGCCCATGGCAGCATGAGGAAATGCGTTGGCCGCATTGAAATTGCCAGAGTTTCTTCTGCTATTTGCCGAAGATGGACGAGCGCCAACACGACTCTGAGGACGATCTATCATGTCCATGGCTGCAGCTGCCTGTGTCTGCGCTATGGTATCGATGCCATTTTGGGATGAGGTCGTAGAAGTGCCAGGAGTCAATATGGTAGAAGCATTGCTATTCGAACTAACAGAAGGTGCACGATCGAAGCGGCTCATGTTGCCGGCATTTCCCATCGCTGGTAAGCCCGGAGACATGGCGCTTCGTCGAGGTGGGGATATTGGGAGCCGCGGATCCATTATGTAATTAGAAGTATTGTCCATAAGCGGCGTTCGTATGCGCGCAGGGGGCATGAAGGGGGAGTAGGCTTGCGCTGGACTAGGTCGGTTCCTGTTCCTTGTGCGAGGGCGGGACAGCGGTGTGATAGCCCGTGGCTCAACGTCTATCAACGCGCCCGCCATCTGGTGCTGCTGCAGGGCCGCCTGATGAGCAGCGAACATCCAACTGATGCGTGGATCGTACTCGCGACGTTGCATCCGCGGTGCCCTTCGCCTGTGCCCTTGCGAGTTGTCCGAGTTATCATCAGTATCCGCCTCGTTCGTTCCGTCCCCAGCGGTGGGCCCCTGGTTGTTGACGCGAGCAGCAGGGTTTGAGAAGGCTGCATTGTTCCGCAGATGAGCTTGTGAGCGGCGCGTCCGCAGGGCGTTCATGGCGAGTTCGATGTCGCCTTCCTGATCAGAGTCATCGTCGTCCGCTTCCCCATCTTCGTAGTGGGCTGTCGAGGTGGAGAGGATAGAGGATCTTCGGCGAAGACCACGCGAGGTATTCAAGGCGCGAACATTACCGGTTCTGGACGGCGGGCGTATGGGGGCACTAGGCCGAGGACGATCTGCAGTAGGTGTTAGAGAACCGCCCATTCGGCTTCTGTCATTTGAGTTCGCAAGCGGTTCCCACCCAACGGTCGTCCTTCCTCCATCGCTGTCATCTTCATCCTCTTCTCCCATCTCGTCGTCGTAGTCGCGTTGCAACTCCCATCCCTCCTCTCGTAATAGCGCCTGGGTGTCTTCGTCGAGCTCCTCGTTGGAGACGTCGGTGGACGTGGTTGAAGCTGTCTCACGAGAGGATCTTGACCCATTTGCTCGATGTAGAACGCGGGTCTGAGCAGGATTCCTTACTCCCCTGCGAATCGGTCCTTCATCTTCCTCGTCTTCGTCTTCTTCCTCAACGGTACTAGAGCGGTTTGAAGAGGATTCAGACTCGACTATGCGACGTGCTCGGGCTTGTGCACGCGCTCTATTGTTGGGTTGTTGAGGAACAGGACCGGGAGTGGACGACGCAGCGCTCGGTGAACTCGATGCAGGTACGGCCTCGTCGTCAATGAAATCGTTCATGGAAGAATCCTCATCCAGGGCGTCTTCATCTTCTTCCTCGACCGTATCCATTTCGTCACCGTAGAGGTCTGAGACTATGCTTTGCGAGTAGGAGCGTCGACTGCCGGCTTCGCTGTGCGTGATTGGGCGTCGTCTTGCAAAGGCCGCTGCGTTGGGTGGTATGCCAGCCTCCAAGAACCGTCGCATCATGAAGGAGTTTTGGTCGGGAGGATATGCACCCCAATCCTCCATGCCATCTCCGTAGCCGTCGTAGTCTGGGTCCTCCATGTCCATCTCAGCGTCGAGGTCGTCCTGATCGTGCTCTGACATTTCGTCCATGTCGCTGAAGCCAGTGAAGCTGTCACCCCATGAGACCTCGCCTGTCTCGTCGAAGATCAGCCCGCACTGGGTGCATCCGCCGTCTTCCAACTCCCAGGTGCATACCGGACATCGGTCAACACCATCTTCCTGATCGCGCACGACTTGCAGTGATGGTCCCCGTTGGTGATGAGATAGCCTAAAGCAGCCTTTGAAGAGACCGCCAGCGCGGAGGTCGGTATTGTCCTTGTCTGACTGCACGGCATCGGCCTCTTCCTTCAGCCACTTCTTGTGGTCTTCGATGCTCTCGCCCGCGGGTAGTAGTTCGGCTCGTGCGATGAAGACGCTTGTCATGTCACGTATCTGGCCAACTTTGTTAGACATTCTCGCTGGGGTTGTATGCAGGCCGACTCACCACATAGGCGGGGGCCGGCAGGTCCTTGACGACGATGCGGCAGTCGGGACATGTCTTGCGGGCCTTGTTGGCGACGAACCATGTGCAGAGACACTGGACTTGTTAGAAGGTGACAGGTGCAGCGACAAGGTGCGCGTCTTACTGTATAGCAGTATGTGTGCCCACACGATATGGTGTAGGGCTGGTAGAGCAAGCGGTCACAGATCTTGCATGTGAGATGGGAGCGGAGGCTGTCAAACTCGGACTTGAGCGCTTTGAGTTGCTGCGGGACGTTAGCGAAAGAGGTCTGTATACCAACACGAACAGCGGTCCGTACTTCGTCTGCCCTGCTCGGCTGTGTGGGCTCGTCCTTCTTGCTCAGCATCTTCTGCTTGAGGCTGTCCTTGCTTGCCGCCCGTGTCGGCTTGTCCTGGTCGATGAGTTTGGAAGCCGACCGGCTGGCAGTTGGGGTGCCTCCACGCCCGGCCCGTGAATTTGAAGGCATGCCTTGTGCCTGGGAGCCAGCAGCGGTATGTGAAGTCGTGTTAGACGAGGATGCGATGGACGAGGCCGAATTCTTGGGGCGAGCGGTGGGCGGGGTTGGCGACGCTCGATTCTCCATGGCGGGCGGCGGCTCTCTCGTTTCTCTCTCTCACGGCGAGGTGCAGCTGGGGGTTGATAGACGGAGCATCTGCTCACATGGGACTTGCCCTTGTAGAGAAGAAAGACTATCGTTGGCAGTGGTTATGCATGCAACAGCGGGTCGACTAGCCTAAGCATGTTGGCGCTCGGTCGCTGCTGCCCTTGCCCTCCGACCCGTTTGCCGCAGCAGCCGTTCACAATCGTCTCTCACTCCCCTCCTTAGCGCCAGCAATGGGCATATCATTACTGTCCAGCGCCAACCATCTCCACGACTATTCATCTCCCCATGCAGGGTACTGTCTGATTGGATCTAGTCTTTCTATTGCGAGCCTGACCCGCCAATGACGTGGGCCACGCGACCTTTCACACTGCTGTCACAATTGCTCCCATGGCTCCGTTCAACCATTTCTCCACACCTTTCTTTTGAAACCTTTTTTCTCATCAATCTGTAACCCAGGATAATCACAATCCAAAGACGGCTGCACCCAGCGCTCCTGCCGCACCGAACAGAGCCTCTCTCCCTACACTGCCTGTAGCTTTGGGCGCTGCATCACCATGCGCCGTTGAACTGGCCGTCAATGTCCCGCTTATCATCGCTTCCGCTTCATTCAGCATACTGATCAACACTGCGGTATGTGCGTTAGCGATTGGCCAATATGACGTCTAAGCATCGAGTCACCCAGAGAGAATGCCTACTTATGGCTGGCACTTTGTCGGCCCCTCCGTAACCAATTGTGACAAGCATCTTGGCCGCACTGCTCAAATGCCCTAAGCTCGACATCTCCAGATAACTAGTCCCATCCTGAACCTCGTCCCAGGTCCACCTCATGTTCTCATACTTAGCGCAAGGCCGCGTAGTCTGATCAACGGCGGTACTGCTGCTGCATCGATACTCGTATCGCGCACAAGTCTGACTCGACTGTCCGACGGTGGTCTTGCTGCATTCGTCCCAGCGGAACGAGAAATCAAGCCTCCCTAATCCTTTTTGCGTGGCAGTCATTCTACCCGCTTCAACAATTTCTTCGGCACAGACCACTGACTGTGGACAAGCCCAAGGTTCCGTGCAAGACGGATGGTCTAAATTAGGTCGACAATCGATGACATAGTACACGTAGTCGCCACGAGCGGAAATGACTGAAACGTGGTAGTTGCGGTATTCATGTTTCCAGAATTTGTCGTTGGTGTAGGATGTAATGTAATCGCCAGAAGAAGCGAGGGGAAATGGAATGTAGAACGGTAGGAGAGTGGGAGTCGTCAAAGGAGAGTCCTGTGCCGACGCCACTAGAATAAATGCACACAAAGTAGTCAGGATGGAGAGATGCATATTGCAAGGCACGCTGGCTAGAGACCAAGAAGCAGCATCATAGGGACTATATCATTTGTTGCTCCGGTTGCCAACACGTCCCATGGATCCTTTCAATATCATATTGCCGGTATCCGAAGCCACGATGAAGATAAGCTTCCTGCTTCAGCAGTTCTATCATCTGACACATTACACGATTCGTATTCTGTGGGTGACAAGCGAACTGCGGCTATACTATGTCAGCTTAGGGTTGTTCGCTATGTCCAGGATTACGGATGTAGCCTAGACGCAGGATCAAATGACAGCTTGGGTGCATAGAAAATGAACAGCATGCCAGCATTACCTGATAAGAAGTCCAGTGATATTTGAATGATTCGAATAGCCTCTTCAACGTACACTTCCCACGTCGCAGTTTTTGTGGGACTCCCCGGCCTAGCTCCCGTAGTAGCCTTCCCGCCCCCACACTCGATGAAGAGGCGACAGAGTTAGACGGGTCAGTCAATACTGATAGAACGATTACTGCTTAATACTTTCCGCCTGAGTCTCGAAGATGAATCATAGGGTAGCGGGTAATTATGATTGGATCTGGTGGCATTGTGAAGAAAGTGCCTCCAGTCCTTCTGTAGACTCTGATGTATGAATAAAAGTCAGTGGTCGCAAACCTACATGGATTGGATATTCAGCGGAAATGTAGATTTCATGCCTGAAATACAAAAATGCAGGGAGACTGGTAGTTTGTCGGGAAAGTGCTCATCTCCTACTCTTCCGTCTGCCGTTGTTATCGATAACGCACCTCCTCGGCGCATCATTAACTCTCTCATCGCGACTTATGCGCCATCGCAAAACCGTCCTACAGTTACACACCATCGCGCAATCCGAGCCATCTTTCTTAGTACCTTAATTCGAGTCCTTCAACATGTCCGAAAAACCAACTCCTTCGAAAGCCGACCAATGGACTGGCTCCAAAGCTAGTAAATTCGACAAGTACGCCACCATGACATCCGCGTCGCAAATGTCTGCTACACAGGATGCGCACTGATAAACCGGTATAGCAAGGCATACAGTGAATACTACGACCCTTGTCAGGAAGCCGCGGACAGGAGCATAAAGTGTTTGAAGAGGAACGGAGGCGAGAGAGCTATGTGCTCGGATTTCTTCCAGTGAGTGTAGCGTCCGTAGCAAGTTCAAGAATCAGGAAGTCGAGGTGTTCGTGGAGATGTTACACAGGAAATGGAAAGACATCCTAGAAGAGTTTTGCTAATGTGTTTGACCAGGGCATATCGAGATTGCAAAGAGCAATGGGTACGTCCCGCCCATCCCCGACTGGCTCAGCAAGACCACGACCATTCCCTCCTGCCCATACGACGCGCCATATCATCGTAATGTGACAAATGCTAACGACTGTATAGCAAGAAGCGAGGAGAGAAGCAAGGAGGAACAAGTCGTGGTTTGGCTGAGTGGTGTGAATAACGCTCGTGGCGAGCAAATGTACAACATCTCCTCTCTGCATAAGCACGGCGTTTGACACAAGGTTGCGTTCACTGTAATATACTGGGATAAATTGGGTTACTGGTCTGTTGGACACAGAGGTCAATGAGTCGTTGGAAAGTCTCCAGCTGAACGATTAAAAGTCATTGCCTATGCTAGCTCGATGCGACGATTCGAGCAGAACGTCTATGCTATCACCCAAGCATACATTTCGCAGATCAAAGCCTTTTAAGCCATACATATGTATCTGAAGCTATAGCTTTTCCAGAGACCTCCATCTGTTACCGCGGTAAGCGCGAATTCAAGCTTCAAAACACCCTGACGTACACAAGATCACGCAATTTCCCCAGACAAGCAATCAGCCCACCTCCAAGTCCTGACGTGCTCGATTCATTGGTCATGCTCGTCGTACTTGCCCTGGTTACCTTGCCCTTGCAGTAGCATGAGGCTGTGTGCTGACGATCTGCACCCCCACCACCCCACTAAAGCTACCCCTCCAAGGGCCCTTCTAGCTGCCTTCCTTCTTTCCGTCCAAAGCTTCCTTCCATCTTCCACTCACCTCTCTCACTCCAATCAATGAGAAGCTTCCTTACCCCTTCCACCGTTCAACGCGCAACAACCCGAGCCTTTTCTACAACCGCACGCATCATGGGTGTTCAAAAGACCATCCTCTCAGAGGGCAACGGCCCCTCCCCACAGGAGGGCGACACGGTCACCATGGAATACACTGGCTGGCTCAAGACTAGCACCGGCGAAAAGGGCAAGCAGTTCGACAGCACCACCGGCCGCGGTCCCTTCCGAACCCCCATCGGTGTTGGTCGCGTCATCAAAGGCTGGGATGAGGGTGTCGTTCAGATGAAGCTCGGCGAGAAGGCTAAGCTCGACATCAGCAGCGACTTCGCTTACGGCTCCCAGTAAGTTTGGATAGAGTTTCTTGTTCGCGCGCAAATACTAATGTTCCTCTAGGGAGTTCCCTGGCTTGATCCCCCCTAACTCTGACCTCATCTTGTAAGTTTTCGCGTTGTGATGTACGTGTATGGGTTCCAATGCTGACTTTGGAACAGCGAGGTCGAGCTCAAGAAGATCAACTAAGTCCACGAAGCAATCGATGACGGAGAGACGTAACTGTCGCCGTTACAAACGTTGGGATAGCAAAGGGACCAGCATAACATTCAATACACGAAGTTATGAAACCTATTGCCAAACTTCTTCGTCTCATGTGCAAGCTGTTTGCTTTCTTACATTCTAATTGTTTTTGTTGATTGATTTCTCAGTCTCTTCTGACAGTGTCCCATGATCGATATACAAAGCTCAGCGTCTTGCCTGGAATATCGCGTATGGCTACTCAAGCTATCTACATGAATTGGAAAAAACCCAGGCCCATGCAGATGAGGACATTAACCATGCTGAAAGATGGACGAATTGCAGCACCCTCATCATCCTTATTATTGCCGACATTAGTAGCCACCGACCGGTCTGTCAATGGGTTTATCCATAGGCACATGAGCTGTGAGTCCGTACCACTCACAGCGCCTTCAACATTCCCATCTGGTGACCAAAATGTGGTGATAACGATGTCAGTACCGGCACCCAGACCACTTGCATTGTAACCAAAAGCGTAACTGAGGTCGTTGGATTTGGGAAGAGTCGGGTGACAGTTCGAGCTGGCGTTGCTTGTAGAATCTGGTGGTGTAGGCGCGTCCTTGCCAGTAAGTGCTAAGGAATGTCAGCTCAAGAACACCTGCAGATATTGATTAGAAGGCCGAACACATACGTATGGCAGATATTCCAGGCCAGGAAGTAGAGTTCGTCACCTCAGAACACTCGTCAGGGAACGTCTCATTCAGTCCTCTTTGCACGCGAAGACAGCTCTCTTCCGTCGTCTCTGTTTCGTTGGCAGATAGCCCCAGTAGTGTGTTAACCTGGGTTAACAACGACGATATGCACGTCGCGCCGACAACCTTCTCGCAGTCCCAAGAGTTATTCCGCCCAACAGGATTCTCATATAAGAATATGGCGCAGCCTCGATACGGTAGGTTCTCGCTATCAAGTTCGAGTGAAGGAGGAGTGCCGAGATAAAAGCTCTTCTCCGTGAGCATGGTCTTGCTGGAGTGGGTTTGGTTGTGGTGTGTAGCGAGGGTCCATGTCAGATTGTTGTTGTCATCTGTGATAGCCGTGGAGAACGATCGTAGCCCGATTGCTTCGTAGGTTTTGTCGGTCACGTTGCATTCTGCTCCTACGGGGGTATTGTCGGGAGGGCAATGCACATCTCCACATGAGCCGACACTGTTGTTGAGGGCGTACTGTGCTGACGCGGAGGAAAAGAAGGTTGTGAGTAGTAGTGAGGCTTGGAAGAACATGTCGCAATAGATGATATTGCCGTACATACTTGTATGCACCAGCGAAAATACGGACGCAGCAAAACAGACAAGAACCTAAGACACGTAGTTGCTGTGTTCTAGCAACTTATGAATTCTGAGGACTATAGCCGGTAAATGCTACTGGACTAATCCAACCTATCGCCTTACTTTACCGAATGCTCTTGTGCTACAATTCTGGTTATTCAAAAGGCGTGCAGGACTGTTGTAGATCGAATATAGTAGGTATGATGTTAGCCAAGCGCCAATTCTGCCGAGCCACCATACAATGTCCTCTGGACATCCGATATCCGTGTAGATGTTGACGATTCTGGGGTCAGGCCGCCAAGGCCCCCTACATTTGCCCCTTTGTGACTGTGCCACTAACGCTACATTGTCGGGTCATCAAAAGTCACACCAGCGGAGGTATGAAGAGGCAAGGCAGACTCGTAACGTCAATCGGAATGAGGGTGTAACGCAGACGAAAAGTTCTGGTCGCAGCTGAACTGGGCATCTTAAGATTTGCAATGTTCTCATATCGATTTACGTCACGAGTCCTGCATATCTCAAATTTATGCTGTCTCTAATGGAACGTTGTTTAGCTTCCAACTCGTACACTGTATAAAAACCAAAACCTACCCAGATAGGTTTACTCCAGCGATCGCAACCTTTTCAGGAATCATTTTTTTTCTAGCTTGACGCCAGTGATGGTAACAGTGGGATTACCAATTATAAACAGAATGCAAGCAGCAACGGTTTTATGATCAAGATTAGATAAGTAATATTCAATCAGTGGCTCACGAATGTCGCGTGTTTTGGCGTAGTCTAGGTGTAGGAAAACGACCAAATGTACGCTGATCTGTAGCGGTAGGTAAAGAGTGCCGTTCGCCTCTAAGTTAAATGTTGATGAAGATGCCTACGGTTTTCTTGAACATCAGCGTGCTATGTAGGCGTCGCGAAAAAGGGGTTTGGACAATCTCGAGAGATGGAAGGAGCGCTTGGTATTTGGTGGGGATGGCAGATCTTAGCGCGAACAGCTGCTCGCAGTCGCGCGAGAAGAACGCGTCGAACTGTCCTTCCATTTCAAACGCATGCTCTCCGCCTTACTCTATCGACCAATTCTTCAATTGCTGCTATACAATAGATCACACGAATTCCTCATCTATGTGGTGTTCTCGAGAATCCACGCCGTGTTTGGACCCACTCTCGAACTATGGGCTGCAAGCAGTGACATCACGACTGCAGGAGCTTCTGCATTATGTGTCTAGAGCTTCCTAAGGAGGGTTGACAGCAACTCAAATCCCCTCAACATTACGGTATGCTCTTTCCTTCTAGATTCTTCAATTTGACACACTCTGCTCTTCGACACACCAGCATTCGTCCATCGCTGACAACTACAATCAAGTATTCATCCGTTATTGCTACCCCGCTATCCACCATGTCGAGCACTCTCAGCATCAACTCAACTTTGAGCTTGCCGAAATCGCAGTACAAGATTCCACAAATTGGTTTTGGGGTCTACCAATCCCCCAAGGACGTCTGTGTTGCTTCCTGCAAAAAGGCTTTCGAAGCCGGCTACCGTCACATTGATACAGCCCAGTACTATGCCAATGAAGAGCAAGTCGGCCAAGCGCTTGCTGAAAGCGGGCTTCCTCGAAAGGATGTATACATCACTTCCAAGATTCTGAGCCCTGGCGAGGATGTCGAGTCTACATACAAGAAGATCGCAGACAGTGTTGAGAAGCTTGCCGGAAAGGATGGTTATGCAGACCTGTTTCTCATTCACAGCCCCAACGGAGGAAAAGAGGCTAGGAAGTTGATGTGGCTCGCTCTGAAGCAGGCGCAGGAGAAGGGCATAGTGCGAGACATTGGCGTCAGCAACTACGGCATCCAACACATCGATGAGATTGCTTCCATTGATAGCAAGGCCAGCCTACCCGCTGTCAACCAGATTGAGGTTTGTCGCACTCGAAATTTGTCGCGCGACCGAACTAACAGATTCAACTAGCTCCACCCCTGGTGCCAACAGCGCGAGGTTGTCGACTACTGCAAATCCAAGAACATCGTTGTCGAGGCCTACTGCCCGATCGTCCGTAACGAGAAAGCAAACGACGAAACCGTCGCTAGCATTGCCAAGAAGCACAACAAGGAACCAAACCAGGTTCTTATCCGATGGAGTCTACAAAAGGGCTTCGTCCCTCTCCCCAAGAGTGACACACCATCTCGCATCGTCGGGAACGTAGACCTTTACGGTTTTGAACTCGACAAGGAGGACATGGCTAAGCTGGACGGTCTAGATCAAGGAGCGAAGGGCGCTATTGTTCAGGCCGTAACCAATGCTTGAGGTATCGTCCAGAACTTATACACTTTGGACAGGAGTGTAGGTGAATAACTAGTCAAAAGACGTAGCGAGTAAATCTGCGACCAGAATCGAAGCGCTGTGTACAATGGTGGAAGATGTCTACACTGAGCTCGTACCTAACGACTTTACACCTAATCCGAATTTGAGCGCACTACTTATGAAATGAGTTACCGTTTTGCTCATGGTCGGTGATCATTTTTGGTTATTCTGTCACGTAGCTAGCTGATCCGTTTGTGTGTACCGCTCTAGAACACGCACCGACAGGCGTACATTAACTGGATACTCCCAGAAGTGAATGACTCTTTCTGGCGAAGTTTGACAACACTATCGACGACAACTGTCGGTACATTTCATTTTACAATAATTATAAGCACCTCTAGCACCAGTCGAAGCAAGGGATCTATTTCCAACGTAAACCCAAGTACATTCGGAGACCAGCCATTTGAAAAGGCCTAATGGTGATTTGTTCGCCAGTCATTATCGTGTGAATTTGTTTCAAATACTAAATAGCGACACGTCGCAGCCATGGACTAAATGGCATATTAAAAACCAGGACATGTACATACTTGCACACATACGACGGAGGGCAAAGGAATCGTACAGCACGCGAGGGTGTGGTAAAAAGAGTAAGCACCAAACAATCTGCATTCATCCAACTTCCCGTGGCCCAAACTCCACGGAAAAAAAGTTCCAACACCACCCTATCGCCTTGAGACATTATTAAACTATTGACAAAGTACACAGATTCGATCGTAAGCAAAAAGGGTGTCCAAAAAGCAAAAAGAGAAGACTTGCCCCGGATCGAACATCACAGCAAAAAGATAGTTCTAGAAGGTCTTGCCCGGAATCTGATTTATTATTAGCAGATGACCAGAATTGACTGGGGGCTGGAGTTCTTACCGAACCGGGGTTGCCGGAAGACACTGATTTTGAGATCAGAATCCGGAGTGATAACCGCTACACTACAAAACCGATACAAAATCGAAATTTGGAAGCAATATATTTAGAATCGTTTGTGGCAGGAGCGGTAGGCGCGGGGGAAGGAACGATGGGCGCAGAGTTTTCTGGTTGGCTGTAGTGGGGTAGTGGGGGTGGTTGTTCGAATGGCGGCAGTGGGGCTCTTGAGAAACAAAAGCGCGACCTCAAACCCAATCTGGTTTTAGTTGCATGGAGAAAAGGCGTCATATAAGTCGATATGCAGTATGAAGCTTGTCTTCTATTCTCAAAATCCTACAGCGTGCATGACAGCACTATGCTGCGTCTATTAATACCAACCAGCAGTAAATATACATAAGACAGGAGAATACAAGTCGCAAGGCTGCGCAATGCCTAGTGGCATGCCGCCTGGTATCACGAAGGAACACCGCGAAAAGAAGAACACATAGCGCCATCGCTAAAAGAACACGACAAAAGAGAATGCTGCAAGAGGGTGTCTATCAGCAAAAGAACTTGTATACCTTCTTCCACCTGGGCCACTTCTTCTTTTCTTCGCGTTCCTCTTCGATCAACACTTGGATATTCAGCTCGCGGATGCCAGTGACGAGATCCATATTGTGCGAACGAACGACCGAGGTGCGGAACCAGAACTTGTAAGGGAAGTAGAAGGCCAGAGTGACTGGTAGTGCGAGGTAGACGCTGAAGAAGCGTTGGAGACGTTGTGATGTCGACAGAACAGCCATGTCAATTGGAGCAACGGAAACGTAGAACTGTGCAATGAGAACGAGGATGTTGAGGATGAGGCCAATATAAGATCCGATAAGGCCAGGTTGGGAGCGGAAGGCAAGCTCATCAAGGGTATGTCCTTGCACCTTCCATCCTTGACGGAAGCGGATATGCGCGAGACAGATCGAGAGCCAAGTGAAGACAGCCGAGAGTGCAGACAAGGCAAGTAGCCAGTTGAACGCAGCATCTTGCAGCCTGCGGTCCGCACCAGCAAGGAAAGCGAGAAGACCAAGAGCCGAGGCAAAAGCAATGGAAACAAGGGGACGACCCTGGCGGTCAATGTAGGCGAAGATCCTGGGGGCTTGGTTCTGCTCAGCGAGTGCAGCGAGCGTGCGCGAAGAACCGTAGATGGAGGAGTTGCCGACTGAGAGAACAGCAATCATGATGACGGCGTTGAAGACAGAGGGCAGCCCCTGAATGCCTGCGTTCTGGATGGCGATGACGAACGGTGAGGCAACAGCGTCGGCATCGTTCTTGTCTTGGAGCAGTCGCTTATCATCGTAGGGAACTAGCAGTCCGACGATGGTTAGGGAGACGATGTAGAACAACGAGATGCGCCAGAAAACCTGCTTGACGGCAGTGGGAAGAGACTTGCGCGGATTGGCCGTTTCCGCTGCAGCAAGACCAACAAGCTCAGTTCCAGAGAAGGCGAATGCGGCGTTGACAAAAACACTGCATAAGCCCTTGAAACCATTGTTGAAAGGGCCTGGGTCGCGCCAATACATGCCACCAATGTAGCCTCCATCTGGACCTCCGCCTATGTTGATGATGATACCAAGGATGATGAAGCCGATAACTGCTGTAATCTTGATGATGGCAAAGACAAACTCGGCTTCACCATATCCTTTGATACCAAACAGATTGATGACAACGATCAAGACCAGGAAGACGGCGACCCAGGCGTTGTTGTTAACCTTGTCACCATTCCAATATTCGATTGTGAAAGTAGCAGCGACGATTTCCAGTGGTAGTACGACAAGCCATTGAAGTGCATAGTTCCAACCCATGGCGAAGCCCCATGCAGGATCCAAGAAGCGTGTCGAGTATGCTGAGAATGAACCAGCGACGGGAAAGAGCACTGCCATCTCGCCCAGTGCGTGGACGGTAGTGTACAGCATGACACCTACAAGGCAGTAGCAGATGACGAGCGATGCTGGACCGCCGTTTGCTAGTGCTTGCCCTGAGCCGACGAATAGACCGGTCCCTGGGAAAGTCAGTTGGCGGACCCCGCTTATTAGATGCATGCCAAACCATACCTATGGAACCACCGATTGCTATCATCTGCAGGTGACGACCTTTTAGTCTCCGCGCAAGTGGTGAGTTTGCAGTGTTCGCTGCTGCGGCCTCTGGATCGAAGACGTTCCCGTCGGCGCCTAAGCTTCCCTTTGGCGTCATCGTCATGGCAAAATTCGGGTCCCGTTTGAAGCTCTCGATAACCCTCCTACCCAGTCCATCCTGGTACCGTGATGATTCGCCATAGTAGTCGGACCCTTGCGAGGCTCTCCCAAAACTCTTCTCGGTGCCGTACATGTCGTCGTCTATCGTCATGGTGGCTGGGCGCAACGGCGCGATAACAGGCGACGAAAAAGAGTGTAATTTGCAGCTGTTCTGCACGTCGGTTGGTGTCGCTGCAGTGCAGCCGTTGGAGGTATCTGCTTTTTCCTGTGCGATGGGCGCAGGGGCGGGATATGAGTGTGATGCTGACGAACGGGCTACCTGGGCTTAGGCCTATTCTTGAGGCGCGCGAGCTCAACTACGGAACTGAGGCGCCCAGGGTCAGTGTCCTTTCCAGAGTGCCGGGTAGGGACTATCGACTAGGATGTGTAGCGGCCGGGGTGCATCTGGATTTGGCCTAGGCGTAGGAGCGACGTTATCGCGGCGTGGCGCATCTATGGGTTCAGTACATACACTGAGCCTGTCCAAGGGCAGAGTCGTGCAGAAGTGATGTGACTATTAGTGACAATACCATCGAACGACGTGCCTGGACTGCTGAGACGTTTGCACGGAGCACGGCGAAGTGACTGACATCCCTTATCGACGGCACAATGTCGCACATTCGCTCCTTCTTCGCTGAGTTCGCTCTTTCCACCTCCACTCTTGGAAGCGGCAGATACCGACGAACCGCCACAGGTCCAACAGCCCTAAATACCGCAGACCAAATGTCACTCTCGGTCACTTAACTCTATTCTACAGCACTCCAGATTTGCGTCTCGCGTGTCGGACTAAGTAACGTCTTTAGGCGCTGGCTGCCGGCGCTACATTCGACGGCGACCTCGGTGTCGAGTCCTGGTGGCGCTTGCGCAACTTCCCCAAGTCCAACGGTGCACGGGCCGCCTTTATCTCCAAGCCACCAGTACTGTTGCGGCATGTGCGCGCAAGACATGCCACCAACCCCACGCCCGAGGCTTCCAACGTCCCCAACCATCCTTTCAATAACCCACATCGCAATCTTCAGATGCTCCTTGCTGCATTGCTTGACATTTCGAGCTTCTGTATCGTGACTACGACCGGCACGACTTCGGACTCGACCTTTCACAACACCCGTTGACCCGTCCCGCTGCCGCAGCATTGGCGCATAGTTCGACATGCTGCTTTAGGCACTGCCCCTTCATGCTCCGTCACGAGCTCGCTTTCGGCCTGGAACGTCTACGAAACTAGCACCCTAGCAAATGCTCGGCTCTACCGTCTGAATGGCGACGCGATGGTCGACATGGATATCTGGCCACCCTGCAGCCTGCAGCTCGCAAATCAGCCCAGCCATTAGCCTACTGTCCCATTATGTGTACCCATCACGCGCGGCCGTATGGAAACCTCCATGATAGCGTCGCGTCGGTAAAGACGGGTAAATCATATTACGTCTTCCCGATCCATATCGCTTGATGACCCCTCTGACGACCCTCATGAATGCATCCTGCCATATGCAGGGGCTACCGAGTATTTCAATGCTTCACAATCTAACCTCATGTTCATCCGATGCAGGTACAAAGCCTAAACATCGCTTGGTGTTTGAACGTTGGACTCTTGAAGACGCGCATTACGACGAAAGGATCGCACCAACACCGCGCCGCAATCTCCTTTGACTTGGGTGCGTTATGCCTGTCGGCCGACCCAGCTTTACAGAGGACGTACACCAGCAGTACGCCCCGCACACTATCGTCATGTAAGAACACAACTTCGCTCATTGCGAATCAATATACATGTGTGTTACCTAACCCTTGTACCTTTTCTGCATCAGTCAAGTACCTCCACCAATGCATCTGCAAAATCCAATATCTTACCTCATCAGTTGCTGCCGTCCTTTCACTTTCATCAACTCGATATCCGTAAAATCTTACATGTGCAATTTCATTTGCCAAGCATTTATGGACACGACGCGATGTCGTTGGGGAGTGCGATTTATTACTGGTGTGGTCAGAAAACGCCCCAACCCACATGGTAAGCCACCACAGGTACCTATCACACAGTCGTAACGCCTTTTCCCCATGTCATTTGTCGCCTGTATCGACAACGCCTCCCGAGGTTGTCACATGGAACCTTACTAACTCTCCACACGAGCACGTCATTATTGTTCATGGTCCCGCAGGCAAATCTGGTCAACAGTTGGCTTGTGCAAGAAGCTTTTACCATTGTCTACAGTGTAGCGAGGGCGCACGCCGTTTATGCACTGATGCACAGACTGATCTTCCCGGCTTACCTTGCATCGTCCGAGGAAGCAGCTCATCGAAGTGGCGTACTTGTCACTCTTTCTCCTTTGTGGTCGTCTTGAGCGCTGACAACTTGAAAAATATGCGTCTGCTTTGAGGACACAATACTACAACCCTTTCTTTCCATTTGATCTAACTATCCCTATCAAGAATCGTGTACTGCGATAAGTCTGGAATCCCATGTCTACTGTTTCATAGCCCTTGCGGCTCTCAGCGTACCACAGCATTACCGTATCATTACCACCGTGTGCGCCACCTCCCACATTTCGGCTGTTAGACCTTTGCCTCGTGTGCATCACATGGCAAACCTCCCACATTCGGCGTCATGTCAATGCGTAGTGCGGAAGACGACCTCCGAGATCTATGATCAATAAGGAAGCTGCCATAGGCAACAAAACGTCACTAATATATTTCCACTGGACGAGTAGTGCGCTTTCGACATGTCGGTGCGAATGTCACCGACATGACCTTCAGCCGCAACATCGGTACTTTTCTGCAACGAAGATCATTCTCGGAACTTTGTCAAGATCAGATGTCGTACGTTGTTGCACGACGTAACCAAATTCGCCATCGACTCCGACGCCGCATATACATCACACCGCCTCTAAGAAGCCAGTGTGCAACGAAAAAGCTTACATCGAGCGCAAGTATATCCTTGCTGATTCAGCTGCTGTACTTCCATGTGTATGTTTGTACACGTGTCGTTGTACGATGTCGTCTTGCATTATCGATTATCGTTGGTCCCGGTACTTTGAGATCGTATCCAAGGGAAAGTATGGTTATCACAATGTTTAAATGGAAGACTTATTGGCTGGTTGCGAATGGAGTCAGCTTTAGTCGGTATGTGCTCGTATGACGAGGCCACAACTACTTTTGTGCAATACCGACGTCGACTCGTCGACAGAGTCCAGGCTGGCTGCTTGTCGGATATCTACACAACTGCAACAAGGCCAGCTCAGAAGATAGAAGCTGTCGGAGCCCAGTATAGAGATCACCTAGAGATCTCAAAGTAATTAGAATATCTCTCGAACCTCAAATATGTTTCAGACATGCTATTGTAATATTAGCGCGAGTGATAGATATGATGAGCGAAAAATGTGCATAGTATAAGTGCGTATCTATGAGATTAGAATGAGTAGACAATATGAAAATAACTTGTGTATAGGTATCCCAGAAATGGACCAACGCCGGGAATGTATGCCGTGAAAGTGCAAAAGTTCAAAGAAGTAGAAAAGAAGCGAAGAGAAGTGAACGTCCCCTACGCAACAACAACAACCGGGATTGGAAATGGTTAAACCTCCACAATCTCACCAAAAATCCTCAAGCCTCCTCTTCATTCTCAAACCCATCTTTCCAAATATCAAGCCTTCTCTTTGAATTCCTCTTGAGGCGGGGTCAACTGCGCAGGACCTTCTTCTTCAACAAACTCGCCTTCGCCCAATTTTCCTCCAAATGTCTCCACCTCTTCAACTTCTTCCTCTTCCTCCTCATCTTCTTCTGTAATGCCCAATATCTCTCCACTCCTACGTCCTTGTACACTCGTCCCTCTACTACCCATACCGCTATCTCCGCTTCTGCTCCTCCATGCGCCACCGTTTGCATGGCCACCATTCAGAACACCGGTATTGACATTAAGCATGGGTCCTTTGAAAGGGCTCCTCTTCCTCTTTGCAAAGATGAGACCAGGTGATTGTGGAGGAATGCTATTTCCGTTTCCAAAAGCGGCGCTGGACTCGTTAAGGCCGGGTGGGAAGCCAGAACGTACAAGGCGAATGTTGGAAGGAAAGCTTGAGGAAGTCGGAGTCGCGGGAAGGACTTTGATGCTATTATGAGGGGACTTGGAGGGCTTGTGTGAGTGGCCGCTTACAGAGACAGCGGGAGAGACAAGTGAGGCAGACGATGTGGATGAAGCTTTCGAGTGCGAATGGTGGTGGTGTGGCATACTGCGGATCGAAGACACAGATGAGGAAGTAGATTTCCGGCCTCGGAGACCACCAGAAGAACGACGATACGAGGATCGCGGTGTGAGTGGGGCAGGGGATGCCGAGAGCCTTCTCATGGAGCCTGAGCCGTGAGTTGAACCTCGGGGTCGAGGACCTGGTGTGTGTGGCATCGGCGGAGACTTGGGATTTGTATGCACAGAAGAACGGTTCGCTGTACTTTGCCTTCGTCTTGAGTCTGAAGACGTGCTTGGAGGTATCTTCGGGGACTGTCCACTGCTAGCTTTTGAACCTGGCGACCGTGCTCGTTTTGACGTTTCTTTTATCCAATTCCTGAGTGACAAAAGGTGGTTGATGAACGGCTGCTTTCGGCGCCGCTTGGGCACGAAGCCATTTGGAGAGAGAAGGTCGGGGTTTGTGGACACAACTTGTAGCATGCTACTACGAGATCGCCGCCGATCCAAATCTTTCGCGGGTAGTGGTGGACGTGAAGAAGAGTGAGATTTTCGACCTCGATGGGTATCAATTGGTGGCAGCGGCTTGTCGTCTACGGTAAGGTTGGGAGAAGTCATTGATTCCGGCAGTTTTGGAAGCTCGGGAGCACCTGTTCGGAGTTAGATCTGTTTTCATGTTGGCGGGCACAATACTAACCATGCAAGCTGCTTCGGTTGATAGTCCTGCCGCGACTCTTCGGTGTGGTTGGAGCATGTATGCCCTCTTCGTCCGACTCTCTGATGGTAGGCGCAAGTTTGTCAAGCCGGCTACTGGCAGCACTCAATCGTCTGAGGCTCTTAGCCTCTGCTTCCTTTTCTTTGCGTTTGCGCTCTCTTCTTTTCGCCTTGCGTTCCTCCTTTTCTAGTAGCAATGCCCACCAGCCAGCCAATGAGTCGCATCGTTGGGCCAGTACGTTCTCAATCACCATGTCAATATCCACACCAGCAGCACGCATACGGTGCAACACCTCCTTCTCCAATTCAGTCGAGAAGGGCGCCGGCTGCTGCAGCTTCAAAATCTCCTGCTGGCGGGGTGCATGTTCCGACAACCAAGGGTTTTGTAGTATATCCGCCAATGTAGGTCTCAAGATCGGCCGTTTTGAAAGTAGCGACGAGCACAACTCCCTTGCTTGCTGTGGAAAGTGTTCCGGGTACTTTGGTTCCTCTTTTAGTATCTTATTCTTCGTAACCATCTCGTCGTCCTCGTCGAAAGGCAGCTCGCCGACCAAAAGCGCATAAAGGATGATACCCAAACTCCAAACATCCACCTTTTCACCCGCATATTTCTCGCCCTTGAGCATCTCTGGCGCACTGTAACAGATGGTTCCACACCATGTCTGCAGGTAGTTGGACTTGCCCTCGTACTCGCGTGTGAATCCAAAGTCGACCAACTTGACATCGCCATGTTTGTCCAACAGTATGTTCTCGAGTTTGAGGTCGCGGTGGACGCAGGACTTGTTGTGGACGTACGACACGGCACCGACGAGCTGCGTGAATATTTTCTGGACTCTGGACGGTTCGAGCGCGCCCTTGGCTAGGAGGTAGTTGTAGAGTTCATCGCCCTGACAGTACTCGAGTACCAGCCAAACCAGCTCCTCGGTCACTATGACCTCGTACAGGCGGGCGATGTGTGGGTGTATGAATTGGCGGTGGTGATGGATTTCGCGCGCGAGATTGGCGTCGTCTTTCTTCGCGCTCTTGAGCACGACCTGTTCGTGGTGAGCGTGGTTCCTCCATGGCAACTGTGGTCACGGTACCTTTGAGCCATTGCTGAGTTTGTGCGATGCCAAGTAGACCTTGCCAAAACTCCCCTTGCCTATAAGTTTCCCCAGTGTATAGTTGCCGACGGTCTTGAGGTCGGTCGCGGCAAACTCACTGTTCCCGTGTCAGCAAATTACCGCGGGTGAAACACGCACTCGGCGCGCAAAAGAAAGGAAAAGTCTTACTCGAGTAACTGCTTGTACGAATTCGCAAGCTGCTATAATTCCAGTCTCAGCATCAGTCGTTCTCGGAATGCCAGGCATGCGCCTGGATGTTTTGCTTGTTGCGGCGCACAAGCGCGGTTTGGCAGCAACAGGACGGTACATACCTTCTTCCTCTGGGCCTGAATCTCAGCCTGGGCTCTGAGATTTGACTGCATGGAATGATGCGCCGCTGCTCCGTGGTGTCGCCTGCGCAACCAGCGTCATCTATGGGTTGCAGGAGTTCGGTCTGGCGAGCGAGCGCCGCGGAAGAGAGGAACGGGTCCTGTCGCAGCGAAAGTGGAGATAGCCGCAAACGCCAGGGGCCTAGGGCGTTCGAGATGTGCGAGGATAACAATACTAGCTTTTGGCCGACCGGGGATGGCAACAAAGTGTATTAATTGTGAATACTGCGGAGGGGATGCGGCCTACCGTCAGATCTCTCCTGAGCTTCCGGTGCTGCCATGGATTCGGGGAGCGCGATCCTGGTCGCAGATCATCCACATGCCGCTTCTGTGGGAAGGGGTGGGACGACCAAGGCATGGCGACGGCTACATGGCGATGGGCGGTTTATTATTGTTTGTAGCGTACCAGTCACTAGCAGACACACGACACATTATTCAAATCAATGCCGAAGAAGTCCGGGAAGAAGTATTCGCTTCTTGCGTTGGTGTTACACAAAAGTACCTTGTACCACAAGAACCGAAATCCGAGGAACCAACATTGAGACACATCAAGTCGGCAATTATCATCTACAGTTTACTACTCGGCCCTCCGATATATGTCTGCCCTAGCCTCAGCATGTCGACGGCTTCTTGCACCATCTCGTCCACAATTTCCTTCGCAGGCTTAATATCGCCGATTACCCCCGCAACCTGGCCCATCAAGAACGGAATATCCACATCCTTCCCATCGTCCATGTCCTTCGCCAGCGGCACAATACCCGCATCCGTCAGCTTCTTGATCTCGTCCTCGCGCTCATGCCACTCTTTGATGTAGTCGTTATACTTGACGCGCAACGGTCGGCCACTGACAACTAGTGTCCGGCCTGTGTCTGTAAAGTCGGCAGTGACTACATTTTCCTTGTGCATTTGCGAGCAGCCGGCCTCAGTGGACGCGACGAAGCGCGTACCAACCCACACACCCTGTGCGCCTTGCATCAAACTGCTTGCCAGGCTGCGGCCGTTGTAGATTCCTCCTGCTGCCACTACCATGGCTGGTTGGCCTGTGAGAGGGCTCTTATATTTGCGTGCGATGTCCACGACGGATGGAATCAGGATGCTGTTCGCGATATCGCCGGTATGTCCTCCGCCTTCTCCACCCTGGGCGCATACGATATCCACACCTGCATCTAGTGCCTTCTTCGCATGCTTGGGGTGTCCGACCATGTTCATAATCAGAATACCTGCTTCGTGCAGCCTCTTGATCGTTCGCTCGGGTGGTACACCAACAGCGCTGACGAACAGCTTCGCGCCATTCTTGATTGTGACTTCGATGAGATCGTCAAGCTGTCCATGTGTGTAGTCATGGTTCGTTTTGCGTGCGCTACCACCGACTTGTGGAAGCGCGAGGTCGACACCGAACGGCAGGTTCTTGTCGCGGAGGTTTGACTTGAGGTCGTCGATGATGGATTGAAGCTGTTCAGGGGTGTATCCTAGACCTCCAATCACGCCCAGGCCGCCAGCGTTTGATACGGCAGCCGCGAGGGGACCACCAGATGTGCGCGCCATGCCGGCGAGTATTATCGGGTACTGGATGCCCAGCAGCTTCGAAAGCGGCGTTTGCAATGACGGGGGCGACATGATGGTGTAGGCTGTAGTGATTGAATGGCGGATGTTTGAATGAAGATAAGATTATCACGTCGGATACTCCGAACGCAGGTTCAAGTGGTATGCTTCTGACAGAGCTGAAGCTGTATGTGACGGCATAGCGAGCATGGGCATGTGGATGCTAAATAGCGGCCGTGCCTGGAGGTATGCTCGACAGCCAGGGGTTTTGCGGGGAAAACGTGGGTGCATGAGCCGAGGCATCTACGGTTCGACTCGTCAACGTCTCTTACAGTTCACCGTTACCGAGATTCACCCGTCTCTCATGGAATGACAATGTATACGTGAAGAATGTTCAACACTCGAGACTAGCAAATCATTCTAGCCATCGCCCATGATGCGAACTGTCATAATTTCGGAGCCATTTTGTTGGATATGATAACAATGTCATTGTCAGGAGCCACGCTGAAAGCTACTACGATCAACATGTTTGTAGTCTAGTTCAGACATCGAGCTTATGTGCACATAGTGCATACAGCCACCTTGCCCTACCATTAGGTCTCCCCATGTTCTGCTTCCCCCAATGCATGAAAGTCGGACGTCCTACTCATGGTGATGTTCATCCGCTTATGCCCTTCATCAATACGATCTAGCTACGCTGTGATGTCCTCAAACCAACGTGCAAGTTCTGTTAGAAATGGCATATTAGAAGCGACATTCGCAAATTTTCAAAGAGATGGCTGGAACGAAGAGTGAGTGTCTATGATATTGCTATTAGCGTTTGACTCCATTCATTTGCCCATTGGCTTGTGTGTGCCCGTTGACTTTTCCCTGCGCAGCTTGAGGCTGCGGTGGAGGTGGCGGAACAGGCCCGAATGGTCGACGCTCAGGTGCTGGTTCAACACCGTCTTCCTCAGTATCGTCGTCGTACTCTGCACTATCTTCGTCCTCGTATTCGTACTCACTCTCCGTAACCTCTTCATCCTCCTCGTCGTGTTCCTCGTGATCCAGCTCGTGCATCGGTACCTGCCCTCGACCCTGTGCTTGCATCCCACGACATAACGTTTCCAGACGAGCAATCTTCTTTCGCTGGTCTTCGGCTTCTTTGGTCCTCCTGGCAAGCTCTTCTTGCATCTTCTGGCGTTCTTCCACCATCTCGCCAATATTGCGGTTGGTGATATCCTTGTGGCGTTGTAGATTTTGGTTCTCCTTTTCGAGACGTTTAGTCTTCTTGGACATTTCTTCCATCTCCTTGCGGAAGGTGAGGAAAAGATCGTTCGAGTTGTTGAGCGTTTCCTCGACCTGCATCTGGTCAGTATTAACCATGATGATACAGACCAACGAGGGGTTAACGGGTTGACATACCTGTTTGAACTTCTCCACGTATATGTTGAGCTGCGTACGTAGCTCAGTCTCGGTCTGGGAAAACGTTGACACTTGACGAGTCAACTGATGCGACTTTGACGACTCCGCTTCCTGTTGTTTGCGCTGCTGCTCCAAACGAGCGGCGTGGTACTGTATTTCGAGCTCTTTGAGTCGGAGCATCGAGTGGTATTGCAGTTCGCGCAGCTCGTACTGGTCAATGAACGACTTGAACTTTTGACGAAACCTAGTTGGGTCAGTTTGTGCCGCAACGGTCGAGTGCGCGAGACTTACAGTTCATCCAGCTCTTGCTCAGCTTGATTCTGAGGTTCCGGCCCATTTGCAGCTGCTATGCAATCATCCACGTCGTTGACAAGGTGCTCAAGACGCTCGTGCAGTTCCTGCCTGGCGGTTGATTCGCTGCTCTCGATCTTGTGTAGTTCGTCCTTGAGTTTCTTGTTTTCTTTTGCAAAGTCACGCGACAGTTTGTCAAGTTTATCCTTCATCGTCGTGACCTTGTTCAGCTCAGACCTTTGCGCATCCTTCTCTTTTTGCAGTTGGTCTCCGCGCTTCTTCGCTTTCTGGTGTTCGCGCTCCGTGCGCTTCATATCGGATAGGAGTTCTGTATATCGTTTCTGTACGACTTCGAGACGAGACAGCGGGCCGTCCATGTTGGAAAGGAGCGAGGAGAGTTCACGGTTTGCTTTCTTGACTTCGCGTTCTGTCCATGCCATACGTCAGCCAGCGATTCACATGATAGAGCCCCAGACATCGACTGCGCCACCCAGAATGTCCCCTCTTCCGCAGCTCCGTCGCAAGATGTAGACGCACCGATTTCTAGTTCCTGCTCCTTGTCTCCTGCCTGATCCAGCTCGAGTTGGGCAATCTTAGCCTGGATCTGCTTCTGCTGTTCCGAGGGGTCTGTCGCCTTCTTGCCCTTGCCCTTTTTGGCAGGCGCAGGCGCCGGGTTGTGCTGTGCGGGTGCCATGTTTGCAGGAGAGGCAGATGCACTGCGGCTTGCTTCGTGGTGTGGTCGGGACTGGGCAGACGTCGGCTGGCGCTGTTGGGCGACTGTTGCCATGAAGTCGTGACTCTTCCGTGTAGCGCTTCAGCTGTGGATCCCCTCGTGTTGCCCCCGATGGTTCCTCCGCCTATGCACTCAATCTCATGTATCCCCAGAGTGGTCCCCTATGCAGCCAAGTTGCGCATCCGTCTTGCAGCGGCCGCCTCTCTACAATGCGCGTCCAGAAGGTAGAAGTTCTCCGCTGACGTCTCGGAACTGCTTCGGGTGAAAACAGAGGTCCAGCGCAGTGCAGGTGGCGTCAACGGGTATGGTGTAGCAATATGTCGAGTGTCAGGTCATGCAGTCGTCGGGGTCGGATCGGGCAATGTCTCGTGGCGGGTGTTGAAGAGGAAGGAGGGGAGGGAGTCGGTGGTCTGGTCGATCGCGGAAAGGCACAAGACACCTGGTAGTCTCCACAACGCCCACGAGCTTCAATATCGGACCTGGCAGATGAGATCAGTGACAAAGTAGCCAATCCGACCTGTCTCCAGTCGTATAACGCATCAACCGCCCATACAGGTGCACTCTTCCGTCTTAGTAATTTTGCGGGCTAATCTCTTTTGGTATGGGGTCCCTCGGCCAATCGGCGCGACAGGCGTCATCGAAGGCGGGTGCCTCTGACATTTCTGTGAGGCGGCGCGACATTCTGTCATCAATCCTCTATTCCAAACATGCTGCGTTCCGTCGGTCGGCAGTTTCAGAGCCCTCGAAATGCCACGATAACCCCTCAACGATTGTCCACTCTCTCTCGGCGTGGATATGCCGCCGTTACCGATGTCTCCAACTTTCCGAATGTCGGCGAGCAGCTGCATGGCTTCACGCTCAAGCGCGTCAAGCAGGTGCCAGAGCTGGAGTTGACGGCTTTGCACCTTCAGCATGACAAGACTGGCGCCGAGTATCTGCACATTGCCCGTGAGGATGCGAACAATGTCTTCTCCATCGGTTTCAAGACCAACCCACCGGATGCCACTGGAGTGCCGCACATTCTCGAGCACACCACATTATGCGGTAGTGAGAGGTAAGGCAGACTTTCAGTGCGCTCATTCCATCGCTGACATTCCAGGTACCCCATTCGCGACCCTTTCTTCAAGATGCTACCCCGCTCGCTTTCCAACTTCATGAATGCCTGGACGTTCGCCGACCACACTGGCTACCCGTTCGCTACGACAAACGCGCAAGACTTCAAGAACCTCATGTCCGTATACCTCGATGCGACCCTACACCCGCTGCTCAAGGAGAACGATTTCACGCAGGAGGGGTGGCGGCTGGGGCCCGAGAACCCATTGGCAAAAGAGTCGGAGGACCCGAATGCGAAGCGCATCGTATTCAAAGGCGTGGTGTACAATGAGATGAAGGGGCAGATGTCGGATGCAAGCTACTTGTTCTACACCAAGTTCCAGGACCACCTCTACCCGGCCATCAACAACTCTGGCGGCGACCCGCAGAAGATTACCGACCTGACTTGGGAGCAGCTTCGCAAGTTCCACGCCGATCACTACCATCCCAGCAACGCTAAGATTCTCACATACGGAGACATGCCCCTGGTCGAGCATCTGAAGGAGGTGGACAGTCGCTTGAACAGTTTTGACAAGATAGCCGTGGATCAGGAAGTGAAGGCACCAATAACTCTGGACGGCCCGAAACAGGTTACGGTTGCCGGTCCTTTGGACCCATTGGTACCTCAGGACAGACAGTACAAGACTTCAGTCACATGGTTGATGGGAGATACTGCAGACGCCGTGGAGAACTTTGCGCTTGGTGTGCTGAGCAGTCTGCTTATGAGTGGGTATGGCTCGCCTCTGTACCGCAATCTTGTTGAGTCTGGACTTGGTGCCGATTTCAGTGCCAACACCGGTTACGACAGCGCAGGCAGACGAGGGGTGTTCTCCATTGGACTAGACGCTGTCAAAGCAGACGACGTAGGCAAAGTTTGCGAAGCCATAGCCGAGACCCTTCTTGAAGCGCGCAAAAACGGTTTCGACAAGATCAAGGTTGATGGCATCCTGCATCAGCTGGAACTTTCGCTCAAGCACAAGACTGCCAACTTTGGCATGGGTATCCTTCAAAGGCTGAAGCCAGGCTGGTTTAACGGTATCGACCCAATGGAAGCCCTCGCATGGCAAGACACTGTCAATGCTTTCCAGAAGAAGTATGCTGAAGGCGACTACCTGGAGAGCTTGATTGAGAAGTACCTTCTCAACGACAAGACCCTGACTTTCACTATGCAGCCTTCGGAGACATTCAGCCAGGAGCTCGTAGACGAAGAAAGCCAGCGTCTGGCAGCGAAGATTGCGGAGACTACCAAACAGTTCCCGAGTGAACAGGAGGCACAGAAGTATTTGGAGGAACGAGAGCTCCAATTGCTAGAGGTCCAAGAGAAGGCCAGGAACGAGGATTTGAGCTGTCTGCCCACTGTTCACGTAAAGGATATTCCGCGAGAGAAAGAGAGGAAGCCACTGCGACACACCGAGCTGGATGGCGTGAAGGTCCAATGGCGTGAGGCCCCCACCAACGGTCTGACCTACTTCCGTGCGGTGCACAAACTGCAAGACCTTCCAGACGAGTTACGAGAAATGATCCCGCTGTTCACTAGCGCTATCATGCGTCTTGGTACCAAGGACAAGACGATGGAACAGCTTGAGGAACTGATCAAGCTAAAGACAGGCGGCATATCCGTAGGATACCACTCGTCACAATCACCATTGTCACTCAACGCATACGAAGAGGGCATGGCGTTCTCAGGATACGCTTTCGACCGCAACATCCCCGACATGTACGAGCTTCTCCGAACCATCATACAAGAAACAGACTTTGATGGCCCTGAAGCGGGCAAGAAGATCAGAGAGCTCCTACAGAGTGCAGCAAGCGGTGCCATCAATTCGATTGCAGAGTCTGGCCACTCTTATGCTATGAGATACGCCGAAGCTGGCATCAGTCCTGTCAGCCGATTGGCGGAAGAAACTGGAGGCCTTACCCAAGTCAAAGTCATGACAGCTCTCGCATCGCAAGAGTCACTCGACGAGGTCATTCAGAAACTCAAAGCTATCCAGTCCTTTACTATCGCAAACAGCAACCAGCTTCGCGTAGCAATCAACTGCAGTAACGATAGTTCATCGTCGAACCAGGAAGCACTCCAACGCTTCTTGAACACCTTACCAAAGGACGTTTCTGTACCGACAACATCACAGCAGAAGCAGTACCCCCGCAACGCAAAGTCATTCTTCCCTCTTCCTTACCAAGTCTACTATTCTGCCCGTGCTGTGCCGACAGTAGCCTACACCGATGCCTCCAGCGCACCTCTCGAGGTCCTTGCTAAGCTCCTCACCTTCAAGCAACTCCATCCTGAGATCCGTGAGAAGGGTGGCGCTTATGGAGGCGGTGCCTACGCCCGTGGTCTTGGTGGTCTATTTGGCATGTACTCGTACCGCGATCCCAACCCACAGAACAGCATGAAGATCATGGCTGAAGCAGGTCAATGGGCGCGAGACCGCGCATGGACACCTCAAGACCTCGAAGAAGCTAAACTGAGCACATTCCAAGGATACGACGCACCACAGAGTGTCAGCCGCGAAGGTATGAGGTTGTTCCTGTCTGGCGTCACGGACGACATGCTGCAGACGCGTCGCGAGCGTCTGCTCGACGTCACGGCTGAGCAGGTACAAGCTGTAGCAGACCAGTTCCTTGTCAAGCGTGCCGAGGAGAGCAGTGTCGCCATCTTGGGCGAGCGCAAGGACTGGGTCAAGGAGGTCGATGGCTGGCAATTCAGGGATTTGGGTATGTCAGAGAGCGCAAAGGCTGCTGAGGAGGCAGAGGGTGTTGCGCAAAAGGAGGACGACGTGCCTGCTATCGCAAGCTGAGTCTCTCGATTGACGATATCATGACTGTAAAAGTAATATGTACGATATGAAGTGCGAAAGGCTAGCATCATCGGCGTTGGGTAAGTTGAATGCATAGCGTCGTGTCATCGCTCCTTCCTCCTTTACCATTTCACCACGAAATATCTTGATTGCCATCTATCTTATCGTCGCCGAGCCTACCTCCCCCTGAACCGTGCGTGGAACAAGGTATCTCTCATCTCCCTCTGTCACACATTCTCCACCAGCGCAACGAACAGATCCCAGACGGACCACGCATTCTCTTCCATTGCTGGTTCGCTCTGACCCTTAAATATGGGGATAATGCGCAAGAACAATTGTGATGCCATCTATCCACTTCGCTCCTTGGCCGTCAAAAGTCCGGGATGGAGCTTGGGAAGGGGCATTGAGCACCTGCTTTCAGACCTGCCTGTATTGAGCGAGACTCTTCTCCTGGTAGACTAAATGTGGGGGTACATCAAATAATGATACTCGACGTGGAGGAAAGGACTGGTTACGATTGGGTATCTGGCTATGCATAATTCATATGTATATCTCTGTCTCACCTTATAGCTCAATCTGGTCTTCGCTCTGCATTTGTCGCTCCTTCTCTCTGACCTCTGTCGCCTTGATAATGAGGCGACGGTAGTCTAGAACAGCCTGCTCAAGCTCCTTCCTCTTCAACGCCTCGTGATCTGAATGCGCGACGAAGATAGAGCCTGGCCCGTACAGGTACCTCTTGTGGTCACCAGAGAGCCATGGCACATCCGTCCCGTAGTTGACGGTCATTGTCTCGAAGCCCTCAATATCACAGTTTATATCCACAACTCCGTATCCCTCGCTCCCCCATTGTACTTCCAAATCTCCGCCTTCCTTCTGCGCGGCGGCCTTGACGTCCTTGAGCGCGTCGATGATTTGTCCGCGAACGAGATCGGGGGTTCCGGCGGCGAGGCGCGTCGCGATGTTTGCGGTTGCGGTTTCGGCGACGACGTTGGCTGCAACACCGCCCTGTACGCGTCCAAAGTTCATAGTTGTGTTGCCGTATTTCGTGCTCCAAGGCAGGTGCTCCCTCAGCTTGAGGAGCTCGCCCAGTGCCTCCACCATGATGTCATTTGCGCTGACGCCCAACCACGGGTATCCTGAATGTGCCGCCTTGCCCGTGGCTTTCACCGAGAAGCCCAGCATGCCCTTATGTCCACAGACGAGTTTCGCTTCCGTGGGCTCTCCGAAGATGACGATCTCGTGTGACGATGGGCGTTTGTCCCAATCGCTGAATGCGCGCATGCCGTCGCCACCTGTCTCTTCACCAACAACGAAGAGCAAGGATATATCGTCTTGTAAATGTCCTTTGATGTCTTGTGCGGCGATGATCATCGGTGCGACGCTGCCTTTCGCGTCCACACTCCCTCTGCCGCCGATGATGTCGGTCGTCTCATTGTAGTAGTAAGGCCAGTACGGTGGGACCGTGTCAATATGCGAGGATAGTAGGATCGTGGTTTCGCGTTTGCTGCCGTAAGCTAAGAGATTGTATCGGTCTTTGGACACTTCTTGCTTCTCGACAGTCCAATCGCGTGCGCGGAGGTAGTCGCTGAGCCATTCGCCGACATTCTTCTCGTTCTCAGATATGGACTCGATCTCTATGAGTTTGCGGTGAAGATGGAGGAGGTCTTTTGATGTGGAAGAACTAAGGACGGTGGGCTCGAAAGCTGTTTGGGGTAGTGAAACAGCAGCAGATGTGCCAATGGCGAGTGAAAGGATCGGAAGGGTTCCGAGTAACATTTTCGTCATTGTTAAGAGCGATCGATGCTTCTGCTGAGGGTTGATGTTTGATTGAACGAAGCTGGACAGCTTGGAGCTCAAGATTCCCGACCTTAAGCCTCCCGAGCTCAAGCGCCGCTACATACCTGCCGATCATGATCGCCAGCACTATCACCTTTCGCCTTTTGTTAAGCGCCTTGAATCGTCGCAAGCGTTACGGAGTTCGTCGCGCCGTTGTATGATACGTAACGACATAATCTTGCACCAGGTATAGCGTTTACTGGATTGCATTTCTATCTGGATACCTAGCGACTTGAGATTTGCTACGCAGGTATAGCCCCTCTTACAGGAGTCCTGGATCGCCCTGCTATGCGCAATGTCTAATAAAAAGAATACTCTGTTGATCAAGCATTCCCGAAATGATGGGTTCTTCGCTTATCGCAGAGTAGGCTGCTTGTATTCCACATGGAGGGCGGTTGAGGATAATTGTAGGCGACCTGCATGATCGTCCAAGTAGATTCTCTTACAATACCTAGGTAGGCAACGTTCCCGAGGTCATACATAACACTACAGTCACTTGACTGGACAATCTCGAACTCTGGAACGGTTCAGAGGCAACTCAGGTCCTGTTAAAATGGATCTGCTCATCGAAAGCTTATGAGTTTAGAGGCTGCCACAGACTGTGGGTGTATTTAGGACACCTAATCGTACCGTTGGAGCTACCTAAGTATGTAAAAAGGTGGAAGAGGTTACCTAACTAATTTTCAAGTCGGATGATCAACCACAATCTTTATTCCAAAGAGGAATCAATAAAATCAAAGGCATTTAAAACATGGCACATAGATAAATATGTTGACTTCTACCATAATGGACAGTGTCGTACCAGATATATCTAGATCGCTACGCTACTCTGGTGTACTGAGCTTTGCACTATATGCAACGCACGTCGAAGCATGCTTTGTTGTGCCACTGCATTCTGACACAATGATCACGCCATATACGTAGAAATCATCCATTGTTCGTGACCGAGAACGTCACTTACCACTTCTTGGATCCCGTTGTATCTACCTGTGTACCACAGATACAGCCACATGCATTTTGTGTGTATGCTCGATGAATTCTGCCCATGTCTTTACTTCGTTACGTTCCAATGATGTCCAGGATGCGGGTGTATGGGTAGAATTAAGCTTAGGGAAAGGGTCAAAGACAACTTGATTGGGATGTGCCATTGTAAGACAAAGCTATCGGGCACACAAATGCCTGGAAAACAGCGGTTACATCCGTAATGACCAAGAGAAAGCATCGATTCTTACCCATATTTCTTAACACATACTGTTCTTACCGTTACGTCTTGAGTGTCCTCACTGAGATGATCGAATTTTCACTCTTTAACCCCATTCAGCTCACCTGATATTCGAGATGTGAACTCGCCTGTCTAAATTCCTCTTGATCCAACACATCTGCCACAGATAGCGGGAACCGGGGAAACACAGTGGCAACTACAGATACTGCTCGGGTGGTATCGCTCACACTTGGAATAAGGTAACCACAGGAGCTTTCTGTCTGGGTGTTACTAAATTTTTAAGGTGGCACGTAACTCTTCCGTCGTCGAAACAACCCGTTGTTGCACTTGGATTTGACGAATGAATCGACAGGGAGATTGAATATACCAGATTGTTGCAATCAAGTGACTTACTGATTAACTCCTAAGAAACGATACGCACCACGCTAGGAAGCCTCTTGTTTGTTTACCGGGTCTTGTGTCCATTCTTCGACTTTCCGATGGTTCCAAGTTTACCTGAAGGCCCATTGTATCTTGCGTCGCTGGCGAAAAAGCAAATTGACGTGGCACTCACGTCTTCGACCTGAGGCCGTTGTGACGTTCCCATGTGTTCAAAACCCAATGCAAATTGGCGCTATGTGAGGCTAGCATGACGTGTTCCCTACATAAATGAATTCGATTGCGGCGGTCGTTACGTGATCGAAGCCACTACTACATGTGGCCGCATGGTGTTGACCCACGATTGTCGGTGAGAAATGGAGATATCGGCTGCAGTATGAGACCCGAAGCTCACTATTTCGTGGTTGTGTGGGGACAGAATCCTGATCGGTAGTAGAGAGGCTAACGACCTACACTTTACACCACAGAGATAGCAAACTTACCGAGATAGATGACGATCCATCCGGTTGAAAGAATATCCATTCGAACTAGGAATTGGCCCTGGTTTGCTTTCTGGACGCCCACATATACTCAGATGATCGATCAGCTGTATCTCATGAGTTTATAACAGGTTAAATTTGACATTGTCGTCTCCCTGTAGGACGAAATTCTCATAGGAATTGCAACTAAGAGCAAGGCTGTAGGTGAGAAATGGGATAACGGTAGAGAGTTCTGCTGCCGCTACACACGAAATCGTCAGCAGCTCACCAAGCTGAAACAACAGGGTCTTTTCCTCTCTGTGAACACTGCAACGTATAGATCTACATGTAGTATAGTAACGCATGCTTAGCGGGTAAGACATGCAAAGGGTCGTCACATCCTACCCGTAACACCCTTGTTCAAAACTTGGATGCATTCCCATTCGTGCAAGCCTGTCCTCAGAGACAAGTGGCAGGTCTTGGGCTTGTCGATGACATGATCCGGACAAAAAAAGTACAACACGTGTACCGCTAGCAAGGGCCTGCTTCAATTGAGCTAGGGAGGAGGCATGGCGTATATGACACTGTAAAACAAGTCGAGGATAGATGGATAATAACCGTCCGCAAGTCTCTCCAGATCGCTGGAGCATTCTGTGTCCAGGTATAAAATCCAGAACGTCGTAGTGCAACAACGGCTAAAGCTCGTACAGATACTTGGGTAGCTTTCCTTCCCGTAGTGATAGATCATGTATCAGATGCATATTCGGACACGCATGATATCCGACGGCGGTGAGGGGACCTGCATGATTGCGCTATGTAGGCTTGGTATCGGCTGCGCTATGTAATGTAATATGTATATAATGAATTTTCGTATATGGTGACGGCGGTGATACGCAACTATAAGGAGAGTGATCGGCTCGCGTTGTCTGCTCGCTCGTGCACAGTCAGAACCTCGTTTGTGGGGTGATCCAGGGTCGGGTAGGCGGGCTACCAGTTCAGCAACGCTAAAAAAGGTAGGAAAGCATCCAATTCCCGCTGCTACCAAGACATACTATTCGGACATGTCTCTTCAACTTTTACATCCTCCCCAGGTCTTTGACGAGTCCCGGTGCTTTCGATAGCTCATGAAGGGGGTTCGAAGTTTCACTGCTGGCCTGAGGCGACCTCGACGATAGACGCGGCGGTCTTGGAGGAAGTAGATAGACAGCTATCGTGAGCGCCAGTGACTAGGAGGTCTTAGCTAACTGTTGCGCAGGGTCGAAGACATACGTTCTCACCGTTTGCGATACGTTCTCCCGTATTCGATGATCCAGGCATCAAATTCGTACCCGGCGTTGGCCTCGACCAACGACACACCTACCATTTGTACATCAAACTTCTTCCGAAGCTCCCGAAGACGTAGAACAAACGATGGCGGAAATAACTTGCGGCGAGATCGAGCGCAGGCGCGTTGTCGAGGACAGGCCTTGAACAATGTTGCATGCATCGGTAGTTCCCATACGTGTTCTGATTGCGACGATACTACTCTTGATCGATACCATGAGCCGAAGGAGAATAGCGATTGTTGTTTCGGAGATCTGGTGCGGAGTGAGCTGCCATCATCGTTATTGTCGTGGGCATTTGATAGACATTCGGAGACCCATGACAGCATCAAGGTACCCACAGTAGGTCACTAGTGCCGATCACTCTAGGTCCAGGGAACATGCTTACAATGATAGGCGAAGAAAAAACATACCTATGTGTGGCAATGCTGCTATTGTGGTTATCCATCTATTCCCTATAGAAGCGCTGGATGTCCTTCATGTGGCTATGGTCGATGTGGAAATTGCCATGTTACAAAAGTACAAACCAGATGAAGGTCTCCATGCGGGCTTCAGCGTGGTGTTTACGTGGGTTTTGGTAGCTCGTTATGTCACGCTTCGAAATTGTATACGTCTTGATGCGCCAAGGACTAACCTAACAAATCAATGTGTATATTTAACTTCCGCTCCGTATGCCCATGGCTGGACTCGACGATTTAACCCTGAAGATCAGAGACGATCCAGATCATATAGCTCCGAGTATCTTGACTGTCTTTACCGTTGGGTAAAGGGCGCTGATAAGACTTGTACTATATTGCAAGACCTCCGGGGCGTAAGGGGCTAATGTCAATCTTGCCGACGGCAACTGCGCACTCAGTAGGCTGAAATACATCACATGCCTGGATTTCAAGGGTCTATGGGTGTCCGCGGGTCGCATCTTCGACTTGGATAGATCCGTGTTTCACTCCGGGCCCGAACGAGCAAGCACACTTGTCTTAACAGGGGCATTGCAGGTTGAGAGCGGTACGTACAATGCACTGCCTGTCTGTCCCCAGCAAGCTTGTCAAATCAGCTTGCGAAACCGAGAGTAAAGGTGGTGGATGCAAAGAAGTAACAAAACCGGTCTATCTGGGCGAGTATGCAGCTGCACCTAAGCATGCACGACATCCCCAGATCAGCCCGATCCCGTGGTACGGGGCTGAAACTGGGCTGTCTAGGCCCCGAGCACACGATTGAATAGCTGACTGCATTTGCGTAGAACTTCATCACGGCGATTGCTCGTCTCTCAGACTCTGACAAGAGAGCCAGTATGAATAGTCTAGTTTGGGTTGGGAAAGTCAAGACTGCAGGTGGTGAACCCAGGTTTCAACCAACACCTTTAGCGGGATGGCCATCATGAACCCTTCGCAAACAGAACAACGGCCCAACGGTCCAGCGGCCCAACGGCTTCGGATATGGGCAAAGTGGCTGTGTCTACGGTTGATATCTGACTCTAGAGATCATGCGCGTTATTGTGGGGTGTGCTGTCCGAAGTCCTCCATGCAAGGATGACGTAGCACCACTCCTAATAGGCAAGAGTTTCCACGAGGCTTTGTGAACGCCTTGCTGCTACAACCCGACAGACGAAGACACATGGCCCTTGGTTCGCCTCATGATACCGTAGCAAATAGAATGCTTGCACGCAGTCTGGACCCTTACAGCAGTGGATGCTGAAGCCAATATGAGCGACTTCTACGAAGGACCGTGGCCTGCTTAACGTTCTTGATACACCCCCAAGATCAGATGTTGCGCCCTCATATGCAGCCATAAATCTGTACAACTGAACTAGAGATTGCAACGTGGCAGTTGTGCAACTGTCATATCTGCCTTGTAGGCAATGGTGAATGGACACAATGAAGACGATTGCACACCAAATCAACTCACCGCAACTGTTGGAGGCATAGAAGCAGGCAAATTCAAGAGAGTCACATTTCAGTACCCTATAAAAGCATGGAATCCAAGAGATCTCAAAGCGTCTGCGACGCGATTGAAAGACTTTACCCTCCAGGGTATGCTTCACTGACTACGTTTAGTCTTTGCAGCATAACAATACCCAGTCATCGCCAGCAAACATACAAAATAAATCTCATTTCTTCCACAGCTCCTCAAAACATATTGTACATCTGTGGAAGGACAACAACTATGACCACTCTCCTTTTACAATCTCAGTCGCATATTCGAGGACCTTCACCGACACGGAAGTAGCCCTGCTTAAGAGCAGAACATGGCGTATCGTGTACGGCACAGTCAATACCGACACACAAGAGCTTCAAAATTGCAACCTCGTAAGCCATTCGCTTACCGAGAATACAACGATATATCTTTCGAGGCATTTAGGGAAAAGATAAACAACGAGCGCGATTTTGTTGAGAGCTTCCTCGAGCATAGCGAAAGCCAAACACCGTGCTGGAACACTCATGTTATCCGGAACTTCTACCAAATCTCAACTCAAACATCATCAGTACTACCACAGCCTGAGATCTATCTGGACGATCGGGAGCGTGGGACCGATAGAAGCCGCGACTATCCGTCTGCACTCACTGCAGAGAAGCTACGCCAACATTTAGAAGTCGAACGGTTTGGCGAAGGCGGCCTTCCAGATGTCGACTACAGGCAGATTCGAATCCACAATCTAGATCCAGAATCGTTACTGGCCCTGGCTCGCACTGCAGCATGCCACCAGATTGATACGCTCCGGGACGCATTTGCGAAACACATCTCCGGCGCAACATCGTTTCGCGTTCACGAAAGGGTAGACGGATTTGTGACTCCTCGTCTCGAGCTTCATCTTCCATATTTGACTTTGCGAGAGGTTACTTGCTCGAGCGACCAGTGGAAGAATCGCGATATGACCCAGGATGGGGAGAGCTGGTTGGATCTACCTTTGCCAGGCTCTGACTCAGACGCAGCAAACCAATCCAAACGGTTTCTCATTGAAAAGGCACACATCTCCATCGTTCTGTGTGTCTGGGACTACTCCAAATGGGTTGGATATGCTTTCTCGAAGGGCGGTCCTGCGCGTAATCCCGATGCTGAACCTGATGAGGACGAAGAGTCAGACGGAGAACATAGCGACGCCGAAGATGACGACCCAATACCCAAAGAGGATGTCTTCGCACCACTAGATGGGGATCATGGCTTATTCGCAGACAAGCTTATCCGTGACCCGAGAGAATACTTTTTACGTATTGTCAACGTCTGGATCATCCTCGTCTTGCGAGAATACACATATCTTGTACGGGTGCTCGAGGCATGCGTGAGAACTTGGGTAGGTCTGGTTCTTGTGATACCGCCCAGCACTAACTAACAGCCTTTTCAGCAAAAGGAATATCGGTGTGCATTTTCAAGCGTCTCTTGCAAAAGACCGCAAGAAAGTGTTATGCAAATATTCGACAACATCGTCAAAACGGTACAGCTCCTGCGTTATATCCAGGAACAATTATCTCTCGCTACCCAAGCTTGGAAAGATTTCAGTGATCCCCATGGAGATATTAACTGCTTCGACGATATCAGGGATACTCGCGCAAGGGTCACCTTGAAGTGCATCAAAACTTCTTTTAGGGAACTAATGAGTCTTGAGAAGATTATAGCAAATCTGATCAATTTCTGTGAGGTCTCGGCGAAGAATGTACGTATAATTAAGTGTTACAGAAAGGTGTAGCTAATTATCGAGTAGCTGAAACTAGGGATGGGACTTGAAAGCCAGTTTCTCAACTACGAGAGTAACGGGCTGAATCACCAAAGCATTCACTTCCAGAGGGAGACTCACAAGGGAAATCTTGAAATTCAACGCATCAGCTACATGACCCAAGAGCTGAATCGCCTCAGCACTGAGGCTGCACTAAGGACAAGTCATACTACGCGACTGAATGTTCTTGTATGTCCGTATCCTTTCATGCGCTCTGCTCTTGTGTTGACGTCCGCTTAGATGATTTTCATCACCACTCCGACCTTGGTGGCACTGCAATATTTTGGCGCTGATCAACCTATTTTCACATCCTTTGATCGCAGCCCTCGGAATTTCGTGATATCTCTGTGTATTCTGGCTCTTGCTCTCCCAGTATTGACAGGCGTGTTCGACTTCCTGTATAGCTTCCTCAAGTATTTGTTTCGTCTGATGAGTCAAAAGAAGTTGTGTAACACCCAAACACCAGGTCCACCTGGAGGTACGCTCCAGTTGTGACACTTATCCGTAGTCTGGCTTCGCTTACGACCCTAGATCATCTCGAATCAGAACACGCATAGCATCTCTGCCTAACCACCAGTTGATATGAGTTACACGGAATATTATCTTTCGGTCGGGTCACATTCTCGTACCAGCCTTTGCCAGCTTATGATGATTGATGACTTACGAGCCCTGTTGTCATGCAGGGGTGCGACAGATCATCGCATCTTTATGTTAGTTAATTCTGCCAGCACCCTTTATGTACCCCTAAATGGTTTTGAAGCCTGCTCGGCTCGGGTATATTGCCGATATATCGCAGCTGTTTGCAGACATACCTATGTATAAGAAAGCAGCTCTGCAGGCCAATGTGTAATGGTGAACATTGAGTCTGTTGATACAAGCAGTACTACCTGCTTTTCCATAGACTGAAGTCTAGCAGCTTGATAAGCCGGCGCGAAAGCCTGTTGCTGCAGGTAATGTCACGAAGCTGTTCTGATAGGGCTTTCGAAAGTAGATCGCGGCTCAGATCTCGTGAAACTTCATGATTGGAGGTGGCAGCTCTACGTCTCACCCTATAGAAGGTCTTATGTGGCTTTGGTAAGGGTGTGGTATCAGCGGCTGTTCATGGGTACGTGTCTCGGCTTAGCGCAGTGCAAGGATCATCTGCACGTATGGAACCTTGAGAAACCGGCCTCAGGTATGAGCGTTTAGCCGTGAAATGCCGAGTACCGACTTTGCCGGGCAGCGGATGTTGCTTCAGCTATCTCCCTGGTAATGGAAGCCCACTACATCATAATCTTTTCCTGTGTAGCGGAATTGATGCTATGAATCTGAGTAGGGCCCATACAATTTCACTTCTTCATTTCGGCCATGGCTTAGGATAATCAGATCCATTTCGATACTCACATGTGAAGATCGAGAGTATGTCTAGGCACCCAAACCGGGAACAAAGGTCCCACGCGCTCTATCTCTCACGATTTGCTTGTATTGGTATCTGACATCTCTACCAATCATTCCCATGCCTGACGATCTATAAGAAGACTCCTCATAACTCTGTTTGACTTGAGTATCGACGCCAATGGAAAGTTATCCGGTTATGACTGAGCATATAAATGAACTCAACCAGAAAGACTCAAGTCCCTTCAACCACAAGACATTCTGGTCCAACACTCGTATCCAGATATGATCATATTTACTACAACTATGTCACTCTAAGAGTCGTACAAAGTAGAGACCTCGAGATACCCAGGCATCCATGAAACACGTTGCGAATGTCTGAAGATCGATCATGTACAGACCAGGTACATAAGACGTACTTGCATGCTATTGGCTCTTGTTGCCTATGCTAAGCTTGCAGTACCCCGCGGTCATGTTTCTCAAGCTTCAGATGTTGTTAATATCGATTAAGATGCCATACAGCCCCCGTGTAAAGCATTGCGAGGTGACTGCGAGCTCGGGAGTAGGTATGCTTTACACGACCATGCGATCGTGGATTACGCTACACAGCTTACATAACAGCTTTCACAGAAGACCGAGCGTGGTTTCCGATGCCTGTGTATCATGAGGTATGCAGGTTCGAGTGACGCAGATCAGCGGTGTGTACGGCATCCCTATATAAAGAAGACAGAACCGTCTTCTTCAACGTAGCCGATCCCACCTAGTCATACCCATCTCAACCATACTTTAGACATCTTGATGCCTAGAGAAGGGAACTGGAGGAAGTGGCGTCCTCATAATAGCGTTACGTCAACGACTGTACGGTCGAACCAGATGGAGCAGTATGTGTCATCTCCCACAGTCACTCAGATGACGTTCTCACACATGTGCATTAGATCTCTCACTTCCTCTGCCCAACCCCTGGTATGTTCGAGATTTCAATGTTGACGAATCAGAATCTCTATCGCTCACACCAGCACAGTCCAAGAAGAAGCACGTCTATATTTGGCATTGTGTGAGTGAACAGTATGATGCGATGTTCTGCCATTGGTGGACTGACTGCGTAGGCAGTGTCATTGCGGAAAGTCCAGCATCCCTATCTCGGCCGCGGGCTGTCCAGGGTGTGGAAATGGAAGATGCGCATACTGCACGACAACACGAATACAAGTACGGGCCTCTAAAATGAGATCTTCAGTACATTCGACGCATCATCATAATGGTGCGGTACTAGAGCTTCGACTATCGTCACATACAGGACTACCATGTCATGTCGCAGAACAAGGATCTCGAGCTCAACTTTCAGCAGATGCAATGGTTATGCATTTTCAGCGTCAGCGAAGGAGTTTGCATTGAGAATTTCAAGAGCGAGCGAGGATCCGGGCTGGAAGCCGGTGCATCCACCGTCACATCTGTCAAAATTATAAACCGTAAGCCAGTTTCTTCTCGTCAAAGTCATTTTGTTAACACTTAACATCTCTTCAGACAGCGGTCGGTGTTCTCAAGATCACACTGCGATACTAACCCAAACTTAGAGCCTTGGGAAGGAAGGAGGTCTGTAGGATTGGTCACAATCTGCTGCGTACGATGTTCCTGTAAAATTGCTGTTTATATCACACCATTACAAGTTTTTATAGACAATGTCCGCCTGATCTACCGTGTGAGAGGATTCTGCGCTTTTCCGTGTTCTTGTCGCTGCAGTCCTTAACCGGCAGTAATATCCGCTCACTCCAGCCTCTCACGAGGTCATACCGGGGTATCCCCGATTCCATGCAGCGTTTGAGCTCATTGGCGCCTGCAGTCCCTATATCAGAAAACCAAGAAATTATTTGAATGAGAGACAATCCCATCGTACCACAGTCTTGCGACACATGGTTGCCTGAAAAGACCTACGCCGGACGAATGAGATGATGCAAGTTGGAGTTGCTATTGGACGCCAGATTGAGACAGCACTTACCCCGCCTTGCTGTAGATATGACAGCTGATGATGGACGCAAATCAGTGGAATTTCCGACAATGTATGTCCGTCCAGAATCCTAAATGTGATGACCTTATTGCTCGCTATTGGTGGAGTGCATGACACGAACCAATCGTGCAGCAACACGATGATTCCAAGGCTCACTGCCTGGATGACGTGGCATTCTGCTCTTCCAACATGAGGCTGAAAAGTGCGACCGGTGAGCGTGTCAGGCTGGTTGTGTCATTCTGTAAGATTCAGTTCAGCCTGAACTTTTGCCTTGTGTTGCAATGTTGTCTGGCGGCTGCACCTCGAAGCATACATCAGCTGGAAAAGCATTGATGAAATACTGGAACAACGACGTGAACACTGATCTAACTATGATGGAGGCGCTCTCTCGGTCTCTTGGTTCCTTGAATCTCACTGTACCCATTCCCGAAGTGAAGGACGCAGAACTGCTTGCTAACCCCCTCGACGTGTATCGTACATATCTAGCTGAAATATTGACAAAAGCCGTGGGCTCTGACATCGATGCAGCCTACAAGTCGATTCAATGGCCGAACAACATTTCTAATGGAGATCTGGCTGTCATACTTCCGAAGCTCCGGCCTGGTGCTAAAGCTGACGAAATAGCTGCCGAGCTTATGAAGAAGGTGTGTATATTCCACATATGGATCTAAAGCAAAACGATCGCTGAGCAAGATCAGTTCCCAAGCGACCACCCTCTCTTTCACCTACCCATCCTGGAAGGCGTTCATTTTCGCGTCTTTGTGAAGTCGGAGTCGCTGTCCTGCCTCCTCCTGCCGCGCATCATAGGTCAGAAGGATTCGTACGGCTCTATCCCATTGTCGAACGGTGGGAACAAGAGGCTTGTAGTTGAGCTCTCATCTCCGAACATCACCAGCGAGTTTCAGGGAAAGCATCTACGAAGCACCCTTGTTGGCGCGTTTATCGGCCGGTTGCACGAGTTGGTAGGATGGGACGTGACGCGCGTCAACTATCTCGGAGACTGGGGCAAGCCTATCGCTTTGTTGTACGTCGGATGGTCAAAGTATGGCTCGGAAAAGATATACGAGGCAGACCCCGTCGGTCACCTCCTGGAGGTTTACCATAAGATAGAAGAAGACTTTAAGCCAGAGCAGGCTGCGAGTAAGCAAGCGCGCGACGAAGTAGCGAAGGAAGGTGAAGACAAGGGAGAGGCACAGGTCGAGATCGAAAGTAAGGGCATCTTTGCGGAACGCAACGAAGCATTCAAGAAGCTTGAGGAGGGTGACGAAGAACTAGTGGCGTTTTGGAAGCGAGTGAGAGACGTCAACATCGACAATTATACCAAGTTCTACGAGAGACTAGGCGTGCGCTTCGATGAATACTCGGGCGAGTCGCAGATCAGTCCCGGTACCATGGTCGAGGTCGAACAGATGTTGATGGAGAAGGGAATATCAGAGGAGAGTGGAGGTTCTCAGATTATCCACATGCAGAACCTAGGTGCGAAGTCTGGTACAGCCATCATCCGCGATCGCTCCGGTAGCAGCACTTATCTCCTCCGGGACCTCGCTGCCGTCCTCGAACGGTCGAGAAAATATTCGTTCGACAAGATGATATACGTGGTGGCCAGTGACAACAGTGTGCATTTCACACAGCTCATCAAGGTTTTGGAAGCACTTGATATGAAAGAGCTCGCTAGCAAGCTACACCACGTCAAGTTCAGTGAGGTATCGAAGATGGCTGCGACGCTTGGGAGAGGTTACAAGCCACAGGGCATACTGGATGCTTGTGAGGAGGCGATGACAACTTTCTCGGAAGCTGATGCTGAGAAGCTTGAAACGATTGGCAGTCCCAACGATACCAAAGAAGGGTTGGCGACATCTGCACTGCTTGTGCAAGAGCTCTCGACTCGTCTAACCACCACACACGCCTTCGATACGAGCACGATGGCTTCCTTCAAGCTCGGATCAGGACCGGACTTGCAGTACTGGCTGGCCAAACTCCGTCTGCTACTGAAAGGTGTCGAATCTGCAGCTGAACTGTCAGACGAGGACTATGAGGCATTGACTGAAGATGACCCAGCCAATCTCTTGCGCGTTTTGGCTCAGTATCCCGAGGTTGTCAATGCGACATATCACTCCCTCGAGTCGGCTGGTGTCGTTACGTATCTCTCTAGTGTGACTGACCAACTTGCCGAGTGCTTCGCGGAAGATGAAGATGAAGATGCTGAGGGTGAAAAAGATACCAAGGTGACTCCTGGGTTCGCTGCATTGTATGAAGCGACTGCAGTCGTTTTGGAGAATGGCATGAAGCTGCTGGGACTGGCTCCGCTTGCGCAGTCGCTACCTGAGAGGGCGGATACACCTGTGATGGGTTGAACAGTCGTCTCTTTGTAAGTATCCAAATTGTCTATAAGCGGGATTCGGTTTTGAATAGGCGTGTTGAAGCAGGCATTGATGTCGTTGGCCTCGAGCCTGCTTCCTGAAGCGTTTTGGAAGGCAGTCCGCTACTACTCTTCCACACTATAACGCCATAACGAATAATGACTAGTGTTTCTCAATGATTTTTCGTGAGATGAAGGCCCGCTCTGCGTACTCCATGGTGCTGGTGGGGTAGTGTCTTTCAAATTTTGTCCTGCAAACTTTTCATGTTCTTTGGCCGACCCCTCGTCTCGTTCAATTTTTTTGCTTCTCGTTATTATACCAACAATTTCCTCTCTTTCCATCCAAGTCCGATATGGTCTAGTGGCTAGGATTTGCCGCTCTCATTCGCAGAGTCAGTTCACTGTACAGTGCCGGCAAGGCCCGGGTTCGATTCCCGGTGTCGGAAAATGTTCTTTTTGCCCACTGCTCGGAAAGGGAAATCTTGGAGATGGACGCGACCTTGAGAGTTGGGAAACAATACGCTCATGCTCTCTGCCTCAACAAAACTCTAGGCTTCAGCATCAGTCTGCCATTCCTTTTTTCTCTATACTGGTTTTTTCTTTCGCATTCCCCCACACGTAAGTCGAGATGCTTGGTGACGCTTGCGAACCCTGTGGGAAATTAGAAAAGGACCGTACTTCATTACATCCGCCTCGCGCTTTCGCTAGAAAAAGACAAAAAAGACGTCTTCTGGCCCCCGGACATGCCAGCAGTAAATCAGCCGCAAGCTGAGCCATGTCCAATCGAGCGATTTTCCATGCGGCACCGCCCAATTTAACATGGTCTTTCCTTTTGCTACATAATGACTGCCTCGCCAGATGCATCGAGTAAGCCAAGCACTTGGCCTTCGAAATCAAGCTTTGGGTGAACTCACCTCCGCATTTCAGATATCGCATCGCATCAACGACGTTCTCAGATCTCGAATGATCCTTCTGCTTTACCATCTTTTCATAATGTGTTTGTCACGATGAGTCTGCGGGCTTCCAGCCACCCGCATGCCCCTGAGTTTAGTAGCGCGTTTCGCCGCCGCCCGTATTTGCTGATGCATCATCACATACCAGGCACGTAACGGTCGCGATTCGTCGCCTGGACACTGCAAGCGATGGTGGCGTCTGCTCGGGTAGGATAACGTAGTATTGACTGCGGGCTGCGTGACAGGCAGGAAATAATGTATAACTTCAAGCCCAGTCTGCCGTAACAGCAGCACTGCATCTCTCCAAGTCCATCCTCATCACACTTTCAATATGCGTCCTTTCACTTATGCTGCGTTATTCGCCGGTACTGCCATTGCGCAAGGTAGTGCCAGTGCGCAAGAGTCTGCGACAATCTTCAACCTCTTCCAGTTCGATAGCACCCTCACCGTGCTTGGTTCCGATGCCAGCGCAACAACCTACCAGAACAGCTGTCCTTCAGACAATGCGGGTATCTCTGCAGTGCCGACCGATATGCGTATGTTGCAAAGGGTTATTGAAAGATTGTGCTGACACCTGCAGTAAACACGGACGACCCGTCTGCGCCTGATTCGACTCCGATACCTACACCCGCGCCTCGCATGCGCCGTCAGGACGATGCTTCCAGCGATGATTACTCCCTCTGCGAACCTTACACTATCATACAAGGTTCTGAGACATATGAGATGCACCTCACAGACCCGAGTCCAGGCGCATGGACTGTGGACATCGCCTGCAGTTGGCAAGGTGCGATGACAACAGCTGACCTAACCTGTGATGCCACCAACCGCGGAATCATCCCAGGTCTCAGTACCACCGAGACGAAGAGTGTTTTGTCGGCGAGCGAGCTACAGGATATGGAAGCTTACCAGGTGGTGGCTTTGGTGACTGCAAGCGGTGCGTCTTCGTCGGGATCAGCTTCAGCGACTCAAACTTCAGCATCTACTGGCTCAGGGACAGGGGCGACATCACCTTCAAGGTCTGGATCTGGTACCGCTGCAACGAGCACTGGTCTTGCACCTGCTGGATCAATCCCAAATGTGATGGCCCTGGTCGGAGGTTCCATTGGTGTTTTTGCTGCAGCCATGGCTTTGTGAGCTTGTTGCAATTAGTCTTTAGTATGTTGAGCCGCATTTAGGTATACTTTTCGGTAGTTGGTGGCACCATCATTGTGTCTTTCGTGGTCAGAATAATCGTCATTTTGATCACGCGCTCTCAATTTCCATCGCTTCGTGTATGTCTCTCCATGTCAAAATTCCATCTTGTTTTCCTTTTAGTCAGGGTCTGTCCGTACTGGCGGATCCATGGTGAGTGTGGAAGCAGCAATCCGCATCGCGCCTGCACGTGATCACGTGTTATGCAAGACGCGACGTTGCGTCGGTTGTCGACTATTGTTTCCACTAACCCCGCATTCAAACAACACATCGTTTGTTGAGTTGTGACATATATCGACGTATTGCGCTCGGCCCTGCGGCCACGACTCCTCTTTATCTCACCTTCTTTGTAGCGTCCTTGTCTGCAACCCACGCTACACTTCAACATATCCTACCCAATCTTGGGGTCTGACTTTCAACAAACACAACATTAAACATGGCAGTCGCTATGCCTAGTTTTTCAGCAACTACCCCAAACCCAAAGTCGCGACTACTGGAATCACTTACACGACATGTCTCTGCGCCTGTGAGTCCATTGACGCTCGAATCCCGTCGACCAAGTGAAGGAAAATTCGGTGCCAATCACCAACATACTTTGCCATCTCCAAAGTCATTGCGGACGGCTTCAAGATCTAAGCATGACCTCCTGGGTGAATTGTCCTGGGCTCAGTCGCTTGCAGCTCGCCTGCGTCGAGATCGGGACAACTGGCGCACACTCACCCTCAAGCAAGAACAAGACCTCAAGGCCACACATCAAGACCTTGAAGACCAAGCTCGCACCATCTCGGGGATGGAACAAGAGATGGCTAAACTCAGGTTCTGCCATGAGGAGGACACGATAGCTGGGAGGCAACTCTATTCGCGTTTCCATGTACTCATCTCCAAGCATGACAAGCTTGTAGATCAATTCAACGATGCTATGCGTACCGTTGCTCGCCTTAAGAAGAGTGACCGTACTAAGGACAAGGTACAACAGCGTAATCTGAGATTGAAGGCTACTCTGCAACGTTATACATCTCAGGGTACCTCGGCTGCTACCCAAGCGGCTGCAGACACGGAGTCCACTCTAAGGGAAGCACTCGCTTTGGCTAATGAGCGAATTGAGGAACTGGAGTCAAAGGGCGAGGCGATGCTTGATGCATTGGACAGACGCAACGATAGCTGTGGCAGTGATGATGAAGAAGGGTTGGAGCGAGGAGGTATCGAAGCAGGGCTCTTGGGGGCTGAAGTGGTATTCCGCGGTGTTCTCGAAGATGAATCTTTCAAGGAGCAGAAGAAGATCTGGCTGGATCTGTTGAACGATTGAGAGGAAGCAAAATCAAGAGCATGCATTAGTGTGCAAGCGTATTGGAGGGTGATGTACGACAACGCGCACTCATTGCTTTCGACTGTTTCCGACCAACCTCCAGCAGTAGTACCAGTGTACATTAGATCATGCCACTGGAGGTGAGCTGGATGATGCCATCATAACACCTTCGCGATTGCAGTACTAGAGTGCACCTTGCATGGCAGAGGCGAGGAGGATTAGCCAGAGTGGGAAGATACTGATTATGATTCGTGTAAGTAGCAAGATCATCATCAGCAACTAGTCGTTCATTACTCCCGATATTCAGCCACCGAGTTCTGATGATGCAAGATATTGTACTAGAGACATGCATTTTGTGAGGCGCTCCGGGTAGTTGGTTTAGAATGAGACGAGATGTTGTAGGAGGCTGGGAGTCCGCTAAACAGAATTTTGACGTCATCCACAACGCGCTAAGCCCAATATAGGGGTATATATTTGGATCCGACACGTTAGAAACACGTCCTACAGGTACGCGACGCAGCCATGACGTCGTAGAGCGCAGTGCCAAAATACAGTCATGTCCAGGAAATCACATAACGAGACATGATAAACGTCCATTCGATAAGTACAATTTCGCTACTCTAATGCAGCTAGAGTCTAATAAGCGGAAGCAGCATGATGTTTGAAAAGAAACTTTGGTACAAAACTCTATGATCCTCTACACCCGCTCGGAAAGATCTTCGACACACCAGAACTATAACATAGGAAACAAATGCCAGGAAAACAAAAACGATATTGATCCGCCCAGAACCTAAAATCAACGCGAACGTGTATGCAGTTCTAGCATGTAGATAAGCCGAGAGGCATATCGCGAGTGCGACCTAAATCCACCCAAACTGTGAGCTGTGAGGGAACCCATCCCCATGCAGCACTCGCATATTCAGCGCGATCCTCTTGGGGAGTATTGTTGCTGTTCTGGGTATCGCGGTGGTTGTTCCATCTCATGCATATGACGCTCTTCTCGGCCACGTGTACGATCCTCAGAGCGGCGCGAGGAATGATGGCGTCCCTGTCGGGAAGATCGCCGCGCATTCTGATCATTCCAAAGAGATTCGCCGTGGGGTCGAGTTTGGCCAGGTTGCGCATTTCGTTGCTCGGAGTGGAAGTATGCTCGTTCGGCAGCTTGAACAGGCGCTTCCTTCGGTTGTGCGACTCTGGTTTGGAGTGATTCCTCGTCTTCGAATGGCGAACGACGGGCGTAGTGAGGTCCCATTGACTTTGGCTTGCCTGCTTTTTTCCACTCCCTAAACTCTCTGATGCTGATACCGGAGCAAACAATTTCCGTGTTGCTAGGTCATGTTAGACTTTACAATCAACTGAAGTTTCTGCTCGACTTGCATGATAATGACGGCGAGGACCATTACTACCCAGCTCAGGCCACATGTTACCCCTACGCAAGACTTCATGTTGGCCTGAAATGTTAAGCCAGCAACTCCACTCCAGAACACCACCTCGAGACAAGCGATAATCGCGTGCGCCTTGTAGCTGTGCCAACCCTGGAAACGGGGAACGTGTTCCGAAAGTATGAGGTAGGCGAGCAGGATGAGGGATTTAGCACCCTAGATGCAAGCGTTAGCAACCAAATCAACAGCTAAATCCTGTCTGTGAAATATCCTAGATACCCAATAACATCCAGATACCGAGAACATGACGTACCATTCCCAATGCAATTGTGCTTGATCTTGAACGCGGAATATTTTTTACAAAGAGACGAGGAACCGTAAGGCCGACAGCGGCAGTGACGAGTACGACTTGAGCAATGTGGATTTGTAACTTGAAGCGGCTACTGAAGAGAGGCAAGTCGAGGATTCTTGAGATTCTCATCTTGGATATGGACGCGAGTGGTAACTTTGGATATGATCAATTGTTTATGGAAATCGTGTCGAAGATTGGTTCTGGCGTGGCTGATTGGAGCTGGAGGCTTGATCTTCGATGCTGTGTGACTGTGGAGAAGGATACATCGTGGAATATAATATACATTTTTCTCTACGCTTCTTACATGCATCACCGCGTAAGTCTGTATGCTCCGCCGTGTCGAACGCGTTGTTGCAGTTCTTCTTGGCGTGGTGAGTGCGAGTACGGCACAATACGAGTGCGAGTGCGAACTACAGACATAGAACGTGATAGGCGCGGGACTCGCCAAGCCGTTGCGGGATATGCCGTCTTTCAGCCCTACCAGCCCTACCCCTGTCCCAACCCTGTGTGCCAAACGTTCAAGGTTAGACTTGCGAGTAATTGGGCTCAGAACAGCGGATAGAATATTAAGCCTTTTCTCTTGTTTGCGCTCGAGCCCTCATGAACCCTCTCGCTGGAACTTTGCCGGGTTTCCGGTAGGAGAAGAGTAAGCATGGTTTGAAATACAACTATTCAAAGCCAATCGTCGAATGAGATCAGCATGCAACAGTGCCCAGTCGCATGCTCAGCTCGCACTCGCTCTCACATATAAGGGGCTTGTTCCTCAGGTTTGTTTCTCAAAGATATTTGTAGTGGTCAATTCGGCCCTGTTGGCTGTGGTCCATGTACATGAGGGTTTCCAGGCATATTCGGAACGCCTTCGGGGCCAACCATAGTCCCAATGTCCGCCCAATTCCACTCGTGAATATTGTTAATCGTAAAGTCCATGAACTGCATTTGCGTCGTCCTATCGAACCGGGCATTAGGGTGCATGGCAGGGCCCATGAAGGCCTGGTCAGGGTATATACGGCCTGGCATCGGATCCGCGTACATGTAAGTACCTACGCCGGGCGGAGACTGATGGTACATGTGTGGCACAGCATCCGGCTGCGATAATTGCTGCGGCGGAAGGGAACTCTGGGGTCCGGTGTCGTGAGTCTCGAGTTCCGGCTCTGCAAATCTGACAGGCGAAGCTAGAGAGTCAGCCATGGAATGTAGTTCTGGAACCAGGGATGCAAATTTCTCAATGGTTCCAGGCATGTAGGGATTCCGCCTATGCCGCTGTGCCAGATCTGCAAGCTGAGATAACAGAATGCGGGATTCTGACATGTCTGTGCCTCCGAGCTTATTCAAGCACACAAGATCAAGGACTAGCACTGAGCTTGATGCGAGCATATACCATACGTCACAAGAGTAGACGGAATCGAATTTGTTAAAAGATTCGAGTTTCAGCAATGCCTTGGCCAGCGACCGACCAGACTCAGAGCAAGCTTCCGCCATGGCTGTGAGTGCGGAGTTTGTAGTGTCATGACCGCTCTTGGTCAGACTGGAAGCGCGTGCAAGCAGGGCTGAGCGACACAACACGATGGTTGTATAGTGATATACGGAGTGTATCATCAACAGCGGCCGTTGCATAGCAGGAGGTGAAGCGTCTGTGGCTTCGTAATGTAGGTGCCTGGGTAACGTCTCCTTCCATCGGACCAGGTCGCGTAGTACACCCGCGGCGGGTGACAAGGGGCCAACATAGGATTCATCGTTGGCGTTGGACTTGACGGTCTTGGGCGCGCGACACGTTGACCCGAGCAGCATGAACAAGCGGGTCGAGCATGCGAACAGGTCAGGGGGTCCGCCAATTATTTTCTCGTTAGGACTGCTGATTTTTGCGCCTGGGTTCTCGATGGAACTCGGACGGTCATAGGAGGATACCTGCATCGTCTCAAAGGCATATAAAGTCCACCATAGAATCTTGCGCACCTCCCTAGCCAGAGGTGTTTGGCCAGCGTTGACTTTGTCCTGGTTCAGTCCAATCGCATATGCAATACGAACAGCGGTGCCCGTCAGGTTCCAGCAAGCATCCCGATGGTTTGTGTTGTGGAGGTGTATGGCGGCCAATAACAGGGCTTGTATGGCTGTGATGCTAGAAGTGAAGATGACGACTGGGAGAAGTGTTTGTGTCCTTTGCCACCATAGCCGCTCCTGGTCTTCTGGGAAGGGAATGCGCGCAACGCGACGAGCGAGCAACAGCACACAGGTGAAGCTGCATAGCCAGGCGGGATCGGCATTCCTGGGGTTGACCAACCACGCCTCGTAGGCCTCGCGGAATGAAGGCTCGTGCAGGACTGGGAAGTCTGGGTGTATGTGTTCGAAGAAGGCGCGTATCAGCACTTCAAGGTTTGGTCTGTCGCCGGGGTTCAAGTGTCGGCCCTGGACGGCGACAGAGCCGTGGGTGGCACTCGATGGTGCGGTGGAGTTCGACGGATTGCGCTGGTCGTCGCTGCTTGTTGGCGATGATGCCTGGGCAGCATTCTTGCCAAAGCTAGATGTTGGCGCGTAGAGTCAGTATGCGCCTCAGGTAAAGTTGATGCAGGGCCGGTACTGACAGAACAAACTCGCGCAGAGCGCCTCTTCCGACCAGCGTACGCAGCTTGATATGGAAGGAGAGCGAGCTGCCAGGGCCAATGAACTGCACCTGCCCTTGCTGGTCAGGCAACAGTGACACGGTGTCGTCACCTTCGCCCTCGCCACTGTCGTCTTGGTCGCCATGCGCGTCGTTGGCGGCCGAGTCTGGCAGCGGTATGCCGTGCGACGTCGCAAGCTGTCGCAACGCCTCGGTACTGGACACGTCTGCCTCTGGGAGCAGCCCCTTGACCAGCGCCTCGAGCAGCGCCAGACGGGTGCCCAGGCCTTCGACACTCCCATACAGTCTCTTCTTGCGCGGCTGCGTCGTCAGGCACTCGATGTTGTGCACGATGCAGTAGCGACAGGCGTCCTGGCCAGGCTCCTTCCGGCACTTTTGCTTGCGCGACTTGCACTTGTCGCAGCTCGTTTCGGTGCGCTTCCGCTTATCCAACGGTACTCGGCGCGAGCTGCTCGCATGGCTGCTACTCGCGGGTGCGGGTGTGGAGGCGGACATGGGCGTGGGCGGGTAGGTGCGGCGGAATTTCAAGGCGCAGGGAGAAGAAGCATGGCGCGCACTTCGCGAGAGCGCTGCGAGCACATTGAGGCGCTCTTTGTGCCGGTGGATGATGGGACTGCGATTGCGCCCCAACTACTTTGCGATGGTGAATGCAGGGCTCTCTGCGCTATCATCGTTATGTCCGTTCCTTCGGTAATTGAGGCTGCCGTCTCCTCTCCGGTGGGCCCAAGCTCGACGAATAGTCATGAGTCAATGACCATCTCAAATACACAACACCATCTACCCCTCGCTGCCTACCCGCTTTCGCATCACCTCCCCTCTGTCTCTTCTTCTCCTTACTCGAAACCATCTGTGGTTCAACGTCCGTCAAGCAGGGACAACTTCGAACCTATCTTGGCATGCGCGGCGGGTCGTCGGTCCTGCCCAGGCCGCCCCCTCTCCGGCGACGTAACGCCTGATGCGGCTGACCGATGAACAGCAGCCGACGATTACGACTAAACACATCTCGGCCATACTAGGGTACCTCTGTTAATGTGACCCAAGAATCTTGTCTTTCACCAACGAGACTCACAAAACCAGTACCGTTTGGCTCACCAACCAGGTATAGTCCCATTGCTCCATAAGCATGACTCGATAATACAGTCCAACGCAACCAACCGCCATCGTACTGAATCGATTTAGCACATGCTCGGCGTTCTAGCCAGTCGAGAGACCCACATGGTACCCATCCAAAAACGACTAAGACAGCAGTCTTTTGTCCCAACTCCATGTTCAGCTGTCATTTTGCCCACACTGGTACGAGGAACGTTTCCATATTGCTGATAAGACTTAGAGCACCTGTGACATACCCAGTATATCGGACCGCACTCTTTGACCGCTGTGTATTCGCTTTCTCATAATGCGAGCACGTAGAGACGTGGACTGTAGGCACAATCATGTAGATCAGCGCATTGACGACCAGGCCTCCAACGATGACCCAGAATCGACAGCACGGAGTCTCATAGCGAAGATCCTCTTCCGCTCCAGGGATGCGACTGTGTTAGCCAGTCCGCTAGTCGTCATGCAGCAGACAGAAACTACGTCGCAAGTGTAGATGGCATCCACTAAAGTTGCTAAGAAGACATCCCGCCTGTGCAGGGCCATTCCAATGCTTATGGCGCGCGGATTGGTTGCTGTGTAGATGATGTAACCGCAGCAGGCAAGATATGAAAGACAGTCCTCGATCCGAAGCTCTTTACCAACGTATGCGTGCGCATAGATTTGGTCGAACGCGAATGGTTAGGCAGACAGGCGGATCACCGTGATGGCGGAAATGACGCCTAGCAACACTATGGGGTCATCCATAAAGTCTGACTCTTAGATCTGATGGTGGTGACGATAGTACCGGTAGTTGGAGTGAGATCCGTTGATGCCATTATGTGTGTGGAGAACATGTAGGTCGAAAAGAGTGAAGGACATCTTGGAAGGATAGGTACCGCAATGTTAGCTGACTGATAGAATAATCACACCGCTTCCCTTGAAAGGGGTCTCACTTATCAAGATGCCGCTGAATCCCAGTCTTGTGGACTCATTCTGTTCTGGGCCAGTTGTACGTCATCGCCGATGCTACAAATGGACATCCCTTGCATAGTCTACCAGACCTTGACGCAAGACCTCATCAGACACCACGTCGAAACTCAAACTCAATCCAAAAGCTCTTTTGTACTTATAGGACAATCACTAATGATCATACAATTGTGCGCCAATCACCGAGCCTCCATGCTGCAGCACTTGCATGTCAGTGCTTTCAGTCGTAAGGCAATAATAGTGCGTACCCAGGTTGGTCGTGAACTGGCTTTATACCATGTCCCATCCCTGCTCGACAAGCGAGGGTGAGCCGCGCCTCAATCGCGCATTCGCGCCATTGCCGGAGATGCATGATAGACTGCGCCCTGTTGACTTGATCGCGGATCTGTAAGCCCATGAAACAGCTATGGATGCTGTCAAACCCTGCGCGACGACTTGACTTGCAGTGTCTGGAGTGTACTAGGGCGATGATGGCTAGATGACAAGACTATAAAGATTACATGGTCGATTCAGCTGCACAACTGAAGACCAGGCTATGATAGGGACAGTCATGTCATCAACGTGGGCATGGGGCACTGTACGTTGATATGATGTGCTTGTAACTTTACGCAGAAGGCACTGATAGTAGGCTATGTCGAAGAAAGATCAGCATCATAGACGTGCACCTGAATGTTTATCAGACGTTTGTTTCAGCGCTTGATGACATGGGTATAGCGACGCTAGCATTTGCAGGCACGTTCAACCACTTTCACATTACTTTTTGTTCTGTATCACGAGTGATCCCACCTGAACAATGCTAACAAGATACTTGTATGCACACATATCTGCAACACTCTCTTTCGGTGTCTTGCCTGGTCCTTTCGCTGACCAAAAAACGTTTCAAAGCGAGTCGGAGGCGCGCATGAGATACGTATGAAAGAAGAGACTGTTAAAGGTTATACTGAACAAGACAAAGTTTGAGGAGTGAAACAAAGACAACAAGCTTGATAGTACGACAAACTCGAAGGGCGTAGCGGGCATGCTATACGAAGGTATCGGTGGCGACGACTCCCAAGGTTGACACTACACGTCGTTTTCTCAACACTGTCGCGTACATGCATACTCCATGCATGTCCCTTCACGGACGTACATCTTGTACAACCACTCACTCACCCAATTTCGAATGATGAATCCTTCGAAAAACTTTTCGTAAACCTTTTTACTGACCATGAAGGTGGTCGGGTTGAAAACAGTTCTGAGAAGCGCTAATTCACTATATAAACCTAATAATTATTGACAAACTTCGACCCAGCCGGTGCCGTCATACTGCTTAGCTCAATCTTCGAAACACTCAATCTTTCGACCAACATATTTCGAATTGAAAGTTCGAACCACACTCGTCCCAACTATCGGACATGAGATGAGTTGTCAACATCGAAAGTAACAGCCAAGCATACGAACCCGCTGCGCGCCCTTGAACGAGTCAGTCATCCGTTACACAGCCTACTCCAGGACGGAAAAGTGCCACCATCGCTCGATAAATCAGGCTCTCTATTGCAGTTCTGCGACAGATCACACTACGTCTTCCAGGTACCAGCCAAAGCTTCGTCAGGCCACACCCAGACCACGGCCAGTCCCGAAAACGACAATTCCTTCTGCGAGGTCACAGTGAATTACAACAAGACGAAAGGGTGGTGAAACTCTAAGATCGAGCAATTGTCGCAGTGGAAAGCGCGGTACGCCTTGTTCTTAGTCTTTGCCTTGGTCGCAGCTCGCTTTGTTGCTTCCAGAAAATGGCGATCTCCGCCCCTGTTCCGGGTATAGGTGCAGCAGGAGTTCCTTCGAAGACCGCAAGGATGGAAATTCTCATTGCCGCAGTAGTACACACTTTGGATTTCATCATGCGGGAGCCTAGTACCATTTGCACTCGAAAGAAAACGGCAGTATCGTTCGCCTCTATTACGTCTCAAGCGCAAGAGGTACTGGAGCTTGACGTCACCCCCAACGAAGCAATTCTGGAACAAATGAAAGCTGAGCTAGAGATCGAAATGAAAAACAATGAGGACTATTATGACAGCCCATCATCTACAGTCCACCAGATTGAAGGGTTCGGTTCCTGAGTCGAGCATCCTATAGTGGCTTCGTACAATATCATCAGCAAGAGTGACGGGACAAGTATCCGGTACCGTTGATTGGGAAGTCGACAAGACACTGCAAGGAAGACCGAGAAAGGATTCCCTCACACTCGGCGAACATTCCTTGTACTGGCTGCCATGCGCATTGGGGATCGAAGAGGCCGACGAGGAGCATGAAATTCGTGCCGAGTTGCATGACTGATGAGCTACTTGATTTTTGTTACCAGCAAGTTGATAGATTCCTTCGCAGAGCTGTATGTAAGTCTGTCGGTCCACATTGCTGCTTGGCTCGCCCAATCTTTTGGTCTATCTTGTCAGTTCAAAATACTTCTTATGCTACTGTGGGGAATCTTGACACGATGGCTTCTTTCGTGATTGTTATGATGGAGCTAAAGTTCTGAGACTGTAACGTACAGTAGGAGACCTCTTAACGAGACCTTTTCATGATGCAGGAGTATATTCGGCTTCAGCATGGACAAGAATGATTAAACTAGGATTGAGTACTCAATAATTGACTGTGCTATTTCTGACATAGGTCTGTTCATACAGCAGTCACTGAACTAGACCTACAACTGCGTCGGGTAATCTAATGTCTCAATCTTTTCCGGGTACACGAGTCCGCCCTGCTTCCTCACCTCATCCATGACCTCCATAATTAACACACTCTCATCAAGGCCAAGGAACCTACCCTCTTTCCTGCCGTTAATAATCGCATCCGCAGCCTCATCCGCTTCCCAGAACATGCCCTGACCTTCGCCTTCTGATTGGAGTGAGCCACCGAAGCCATTGTACCAGCCGCTTCCCTTACCTGGGCCTGGGATGGGGAACTCTTTCGACTCAGCCTTGCCTTCTGAATCGATGATCCTGACGGAAAGGGGTCGGAAAGAGTGTCCAAAGACTTGAATCTCACCCTTGGGTCCTTGGATGCGGACGAAAGGTAGGTCCTGGTTTCCTCCTGGGGCTGTTGCGACACGGAGCGAGGTTGTAGCTACGGCATGGACCTCGCCACCTTGGTCTTTCGAACGTGGGAATTGGAGGATCATGGTGCTGTGCTCGTCGGCCTTGCCAGTAGGCTCATAGGTCTTGACAAAAGCCTGTAGCTTGGGCGGCTGGCGCGAGTTCTCGGGCTGAGTATGGTAGATGGTTTGGAAGACCCAGGTAAGGGCGTAGATACCAAGGTCGAGCAGGGCGCCACCCGCCAGGTCAGGGTTCACCATGCGGTTCTTGCCATCTGGGAAGTTGTTCTCGGGGTCGAGCGCCATGCTGTTGTCGGAAATGACGCGTGTAATGGGTCCGATGCGACCGGACGTGATTTGCTCGCGGACGTAGATGGACAGTGGGAAGTAGCGCGTCCATACAGCCTCCATCAGGAAGAGGTTCTTGGACCTTGCGACCTCAGCCAGCTTGCGCGCCTGGGCGGCATTGACTGTGAAAGCCTTCTCGCACAGCACGTTCTTGCCGGCCTCCAAGCAAAGCATAGCATTCTGGTAGTGGTGCGAGTGCGGTGTAGCAATGTATACGATGTCGATGTCTGGGTTCTTTACGAACTCCTCGTAGGAGCCATATGCCTTTGCTTCCGAGGGTGCGCCCACCTCCTTCAAGAAGTCTTTGGCGCGCGATTCCGACGACGACGAAGCGGCAGCGACGACGGTGTGCTTCAGGTGCTTGACGCCACGTGTGGTAGGGTCGCAAAGCAGATCCTTGGTGCTGTGTCCATGTTAGTAAACAGCTTCAGTGGGGGTGTGGCGCGGGGTAGTTACAAGGTGACGGCGATGCCTCCAGTAGCGAGGATACCCCAGCGGACGGTCTTTGGTGATGACATGGCGTAGATAGACGGTTTGGTAGTCTCCCAGTAGATCCAAGGTGAGATTGTGAATTCAGCGACGAGGAGCGCTTAGCGGCGTCAAGAGGTTGACCTTTGTAGCTGCAGAGCTCCAACGTCATGACACCCACCGAACTTCGGGCAAAGCGCCGCATCTCAACCCCACTCTTGCCCCTCCATCGTGCTACCGGTGCCTAAAGGAGCAGACGGCCCGCGTCGCGAGACGTGGCCAACATAACGCGTGATTGCCATGTTCGAGGACATTGATGAGTAAGGAGTCGTCGTTAAGGGGTTGGGAGAGAAGCCTATCTCCGAAAGTCGACGCCAAGCCTCCCAACCTTCACCTTCGTCGTGCTTAAGCCCATCAAACTCCACGTAGCGCCGACGAGCTGGAAAACATGACCAGCCATGTTCGAAAAGCGATCGACTAATACCAAAGCAGAATCAACACTTGTTGCAAGCAGATCTCGACGTTTTCTCCGCACGAGTTCTAAACGACGGGAAGCTGGGGACTTTCAGCCTAAGACGGATCAGAAGCCAAGCGCTGCACAGGTGGCGAATGTCACGGAGCATATGGAGCCAGCGTCGAGAGATAGAGCATTGTATGTTCTCGCCACCACCAACGGACGTTACGATGGAGCTGTTAGAGCTTCGCCTTGCTACCACTCTGAACACGTGCATGATATCTGTCCCTCATCTCTCGCCTCAACATCTTCCCCGAAGGAGTTCTAGGTATCTGAGAACGAAGTTAGTGTAAGTAATTCATAGCAGTTCAAGCACTCACGGAATCAACAACCTCAACACCACCAGTCAGCCACTTGTGTCGACTTAAGCGTCCTTCGACCCACTGATGTAGCTTCTTAACGACGATATCCTCGCCCTGTTTCCCTCCCTCGTTCGTGAGTACGATCCATGCTCTGACAAACAAGGACCCATCGCCACGACCATTATCGACGCCAGCTACGCATGCGTCGCGCACAAGACCCTCTGGATGGTCCAGCAACGTATCCTCCACCTCCGTGGCAGCAACTTGTAGACCTTTGACTTTGATCATCTCTTTTAGGCGATCGAGGTAGTGAATACGGTCATACTTGTCGCGCATGACAAGATCTCCGGTGCGTAGCCAGCCCGGTTCGGTGAACATATCCGCTGTGGCTTTGGCTTCTCTGAAGTAACCGGGCGTGACAACTGGTCCACGTACCCAGAGCTCACCCTTCTCACCCTTGGCTACGTCTTTGAGTGTGTCGGGGTCCACAATACGAGCCTGCATACCTGGAAGCAGATATCCAATCGTGCCAGACAGCGCAGGCTCTAAGCCAAAGATCCCATTCGCACCCGAACTAGCGATACTGGCTGCTTCACTGAGGCCATAGCCACTTGGTACTGGTATCTCTGCACCCTGCGGTAGCTTCTTGGCCAGCTGATGTGCGACATCTGGTGGCAGATATGCAGCACCGCTAGATGCGACGACCACAGAGCTTAGATCATATTTCTCAGTCAATGAGCTTTGAGCAAGCTGACGGACTAGAGGTGGGACGAGTGGAAGATGTGTAATCTTGTACTTCTGTATGCTCTTCAAAGCAAGCTCGAGGTCCCATTTTGGAAGGATGACGGAGGTCTGCTTGATTAGATTGAGACGAAGGATCCACAGGATCATCCCGTATGAGTGATACATCGGGACAACACCGAGTAAAGTGACGGGCGTCAACGGTTCGTCTCCTGTGAAGCGCGCAGCTTGTACACCGGTATGGAGCGTTTGCATCCCAGAAGAGTAGCCATTCCTATGCGTGATCATCATTGCTTTGGGCAAGCCGGAAGTTCCTGAAGATTGAAAAAGGTATGCCATACGGTTTCCGCCAATCAGCTTCCGCTTTTGTTCTGGCAGATTGAACCCTTCTCTTACAAGCGATTCGATAGTACGATGACCTGATACGTGGTCTAATTGAGAATTATCGCTCAGTACGATAACCTTTTGAGGGTTCAACTTGACTTTCAGAGATAGATTGTCGCCCTCGCCAGATCCCAACTTGAGCGCTTCACTCAACACCGGAAGCAGCGTCTCATGACACATGATGCTCGTAATTTGCATTTTTCTCAATACCCACCATAATTCGTAGGGCGTACTCGCTGGACTGATCCCGCCGAAGACCAGCTCTGATCGGAAACATGCGTGCGCTATCATTGGATAGTGCAGATGATTCCGCGAGAACAAAGCCAAGATTTCACCATCTTCTTTATCATCTACTGGACTCTTTTCCAGACCCAATGGATTTGGACCATCATATCTGAAGACGCGCGCCAATGCACATACCCGAGCATAGAAGCTGTGGAGGGTGACAACTTCTTCTGTGACGGCGTTGATAAATAGAGGGTAATCTTCTGGCAATGGGTTGTTTGGCGGAAAGCAAAGCTCGTGGATATTAAGATCGTCTGGTGTAGGTGGAAGTGGACCATACGGCGACGAAAACACAGCTTGGTCGTGAGGTAGATATTTGTCTTTTTGGGGATCAGGAGCGTTAGGGCCAAGGAACCGAGACCAATGAGGTTTTAGGATATCATGCGTCATGTTGGGATCTGGATGAATTGAAGTTGCTAGACGTCAATGGAAATATGTTAGATATTAAGACAAGGCACACATACGTGCCCTGCCAGTGTACCTTTGTGCGACATTGAGTTTGGACTTCCGAGGTGTACTACACGCCCCGCGTTCTCCCCACATTCGGCCCTGACGTCGTGCAGGCGAGTAAGCCCAGGGATAACACACGGTAAGTTTTGTGTAGGCTGCAAGCATACAATGATAAGAAAAGTGCCGCTGCAATGGCACCGCTCAGTCGGTGCTATAGCAGAGTTTACGCCGTGAATTCGGGCGGACAAAGCTATCGATTTCACCTGTAAGCTTGTATCGTAATCACTATATTCCTGGGCTGCATCTAGCCCAGCTCGGACTGGGGATTTCTATCGCATAAGCCCACGATGTTTCGAACAATACCTATATACTCTGTCGCGTAGTACAAGCACTTCCGAAGAGGTTCTAGGTGAGCTGGCATCCCAAGTGTGGCTTTGCTGATGCCGGGCGCCTGAATCTTACGTCTAGACCAAATTGGGTCGGACTCGTCTCAGCTGATGGCGCCACAGACTGAGCAACATGGCATGCGCGATGTCTGTACGTTTTAACACAGTCTTTATCCACACGATCCAGCACCTAGAAGGACTAACATTTTCAGGCGCCTCCTTGGATGTGGAGATCCGCATAGAGGCGCGCGGGTATACGTCGCTGGAAACCTCGCGTATGCACCCCTGATGCAACCTTGAGATTGTCGCGCTTCAGTCTCAGCCTTCGGGACTTATTTTCAGCCCCCAACATCGCCTCACAGCCTTGTCACAGAGCTATAAACTCATCGCATCTTCCCCTCTATCGTCAAATACGCAAATTTAGCATTCGAATAACCATGTCTTCTAATTCCGATATTGGCAACGACGATGTCCTGCCTGCCAAGAGGGACACGATGCCGGCACTTTGGAGTGCGAAGCAAATTCCAGATAGCGCAAACTTTTCCGATCCCTATGCACTGATCGGAGACGCATATGAACGGATACCCGTGGCAGATGAGTGGGAAATACCAGATCCGTAAGTAGATAGCACGACTGTATTTCCAGATCACCACTTACGCAGCACAGTAACAGCAAGAAGCTACCATACTTGGCGCATATTAAATCGCTGTCAACGTCATGGAAAAACCTACGTCATCTGGCGGACTGGATGCAGGTCGGAACAACCCCACTGCGTTGGAATGAAATCAAACATCACCCAGAGGAGCTCGAAAGGCGAAGGAACAAGACCAATGTCACTTTCGTGGAATATAACCCTTCCACAGCACCCAAAACTACAGCAATCAAGACACCGACATTGCTGCACGAGACTTTACAAGCCCTGTCGCATGAGCGTACAAAACAGCCTCCTCTGCGACTGTTCGTTGTGGAAGATCTGTCTCAGCAAGTTATCGAGCTTTTGGGAGCGCGCTTCGATATTGATCCTTTATTCTTCCGCGAGCAAATCGATGACTACGTATGGCATAACACTCGCGATCCCTGGGCATCACCCCCCAGCCTAATCTCAAGCATGAAGCATCGACCGTGGTTTAGAATGCGCAATATGAGATTACGATATTTCAAAACAGAGAAAGAATTCAAGGATTCGAGGTTAGAAGCAAATGCCTGGAACGTGCTGAGACGTCCTGACAACGATGAGAATCATTGGCACTATCAAGACAGAGACGGAGCAGTCGTATCCATTATGCGTACGCGGACCACAATGTGGATTGGCAAAGATAAGCAGTGCGGAAACGGGACTGTAGGAATCGTGTTGCTGGATCCGACCGTCCGCCAAGGTCAACCCCTATGTGAGTACCAACACACGACATCTCAACCTGGCAAAATTACACGCTGACACTGCAAAGGGTATGATCGCAGTAATTGGCTGCCGACCCCTAAGATGGAGACCAAGGTCTACCCTTCGATCAAGTCATCTGTATCCTGGTTCGAAGATATTGTCCAAATGACTACCGCATTCCCATGGTTCGAGCGGAGAGAAGGTCACGATATAAACGCTCAAGTCCTTGCCAAACCAACCATTTACACCATCTGCGCAGAATGGCTTATAGTGTGTGACTATGTAAGGGCCCGACTTAGCCAAATAGAATGGGAACTTGAACTGCCGCGCCTCTTCCGCTCAAAAGGCGACGCCATTGATACATCGCTCAAACGGCTTCACACTTGGCGTCGACAGATTCCTGTATTCCGAGAGATGGTTGCAGAGACGTTGGAACACGCGCTCCCAGCCGCAGCGCGACTCACAACCCCGTCTCCTCAATATTCCGCCGCGCCCAACTCTCCTCTTTCTGTACGCTCAGCGTTTTCTGACAACCTGGTCATCAACTTTGAAAACGTGGAGGGGTTTGAGGATATAGTCCCCGACTTCAAACGTGTTCTTGCAGATGTCAACGAACTACAGGAACGCGTCGACCGTCTTACCAGCATTGTCACTTCGGAAATATCCATCGAAGATTCACGTCGCGGACTTGAAGAGAATCATAACATGGCAAGAATCACATGGCTGGCGACTGTTTTCATTCCGTTGACGTTCATATCTGGTTTATACAGTATGAATGAGAGCGTGTCGGCGTTGAAATCGACATACGGGTGGTATTTCCTGACCGCCGTGCCTTTTACGTTGATCGTTATGGCAATCGGGTGGGTCGCAGGCGGCGGAAGCCTCACACCATGGCGGAAAGATTCTACAAAGCAAAAAGGTATGATTGGGGGAAGAGATATGAAATGAGCAAAGTTATGAAGACAAGGCATGATGTTACCTAACGCTAGCACCGGAAAACATTTCTTCAACATGAAGCGGCATATTAGTCTCGTAACATTTTTCCTAGCTAGCTTCCAACAACACCGGCATCGCTTTCGTCACCGCCTGCCCTCGGCTACAATGTGAATCTGAAACTCGGATGCTGATGGCCGAGTCTATCCGCATCCGCTTGCAGAAGTCTATCATCTCGCTCACCCCTGTCTCGCTTCTTGTTTTCCCAACCCAAGTACACAAACTGGGCAGCAGAGAGTACGATCGTTATCACTAATGCACCAAGGCTAACCGAATGGCCCAAAACATACCTCGGCGCATCGCGTTGGAGATAGATGAATGTACCGATAAAGGCCGAACAATTAGCAATGGAAATCACCATACCGATTCCGACTGCTCGCACATAGTGAGGCGCAAGGTTATTGGACGCCCATCCCTGGATACGTGTGAGCAAGACAAGTACGCAGATCTTCAGATCAAGCTTACCATGAGCATGGGTGAGCCTTGGAAGACACCGATGGCAACTAGGAACGTGCCGGCATATCGTACGGCATTGGTCGTTGCTACTATCAACATCACGTAACCGCATATTCCCAAAACGCATCCTCCGATGATGAAGTAGCCCCGGTTCTTTAGTTTGTCCGAGGCATACGCCGTGCCGATGACGGTGATGAAGGCAGCCATATTGGGGGGCACCGTGAAAAGCTGCGCAGTAGTGCTTCGATAGCCCATTCCTGCGATGATGCTAGGTAGGAACAATGAAAAACTCTATTGTAAATCAGTGTTGCCATTGAGACATGGAAGTCGAAAAGACGTACGTATAGCGGTACCAATAAGAAGAACCAGATGAAAGCAGAAAGATAGGTCTGCGGGGCTTTCAGTGCCATCCTTACCCAATACCAGCTAAACTTCTCATCTTCCACATCGACTTCAGTAGACCCTCCCGCGTCAAGTCTCATGCGGCGTAATGCCCATTCTTTCTCTTCGTCGCTCAAGAAACCTGCTGCCGCAGGCGTGTCGGGCATGAAGAAAAAGCAGATGATGCCGAAGACAACAGTTATTGCGCCCTCGACTATACTAAGTTAGTGCAACGTATTCCCTGATATGGAGGGTGAACTGTGAATGTTACCCAAGTTGGACTTACCAAAGAAAATCCAGGGCCACCTCCGATACTGCCCAACTTCAATAGTAGCCAATCCTGAAGCTAACAGTCCACCAAAGGCCCCAGATAGAGGCGCAGCGCAGTAGAACAACCCGCTTCTCAACAACATCTCTCCTCTCCTATAGAACATGGCAAGATAGATTATCACGCCACCAAGGATACCACCCTCACATAGTCCTAGCAACAGCCTACATGCGACCAGCCCGGCGAAAGACTGGACGAAGCCCATGAATGTGCACACTAAACCCCATGCAGTTATAAGAGCCGGTAAGTATATGCCGGCACGTAGGCGCTTGACAAGAAGGTTCGAAGGTACATCAACGAGGATATACGGGATGTAGAAGACTAGAAGCGCAATGTTGAACCGCGTGCCGGTTGTGATAGATAGCTCGTCTGACAGGCCTGCTATACGAGCGTTACCGATATTGCTGCGGTCTATGAATGAGAAGAGCCTAGATAGATGACTTAGTATATAGCCTGATGTTGTGTACGATAGCAAGCGAAGATACCAAATTCCGAATAACCAAGGTAAGATATGGGTATCGAATTTACGATTTACACGCCTATCCAGGGCGACATCGATCGTTTCCTCAAGCACAATGGCCTTCTCGATACTTTCAGTGCCAAATTCTTTAGGTTCTTCCATTGTAGCTAATCGGTAGGTTGAAGGCTCAGCAGCGCGCGCTCACAACAACAATGGAGAAGTCAGGTGCGAACAAGAAAAGAGATAGACATTAACAGAAATCTAAGGATCTAACTATTGTTACAATCATGACCCGTAATTGTACGTTTTCCCGAACCAATATCAATAGACTAATGTCCCTCCACACTGCGGGGAAAATCGAAGGATCAACAGTAATGCGGGGATTTCTCCAAAAGGCATGCCGAGCTATTAAGACGTGCTTGTTGACCAGTGGGCGTCCCACAAAATCTCTTGCGCAAGGGCAATGTGGCGTATGGCGTTCCGCGGGGACGGCTGGATTGCGAGTGCGGAGAAGAAGGGCAAGGCTGGTAAGCGAAACAGCAGAAGATGTGTCCCGAAACACGTGCCGTTAGCGAGCCGTTGCCGCCACTTATTTCGTCATGAACGCCCAGAAGCTTCTAGCCAGTACGACGCTCGGCAGATCAACGACACGGTAGAAAACCTCCGCTACGATTGCAACGAGGGGAGCGCAAACCAAGAAGCACACGAAACTGCTCGCAGCGCTGTTCATGCCGGCGGTGACCATGTGTGTGTATAGCGTGATACCGGCGGTGTATATGATTATGGATTGGACGAGGAACCAGCCTGAAGTTTGTAAGTAGTCGTTCGATGGAGCGTGTCAGGGCCGTCACTTACTGAAACTCCTCTTGCCTAGCGAAACAAAGAAACCGCCGCGAAGCACAGATCGAGGCCACTCGAACGTCTCGATGAGAAGCATCGATCCAAGGATGATGAGGTAATTGTCGACCCTCGGCATTGGCTGATCCAGGTCAGCGTTCTCGTTCAAGAATCCATCGTCGTATAGCGCAGTGTGGCCGTATAGTTCGTTGTCGCGCATGCTAGGCTTTCCGGAGATAAAAGCGAATTGCAGTATATAACCGGTTACGACCATGATGGCGTACAGTGGCCAGACCGGTATGCCGAAGTTGCCGATCTTGAATCCCTTCAGGGACCGGAACTGGAAGTCCATGTTGAGAACCGCATCAGCGATGATAAGACCAGTGACACTGTACCAGGCCCAACTCTGCACCCAGAATGCTGCTACGATGAAGACCAACATGGCCTTGACGCGCCATGAAGTGCGGGTGTTCGGGACAATAATCATGGTAATGTAGACGGTGTAACTTTGCTGGAATAGCACAGACACTATCCAAAGGGTCCCCGATGGAAATACATCGTTGGCAGCTTGACTAGCGTAGCGCTTGTTGACCCAGAAAATCTCAAAAAGGGAGTTGAAGTAGAGCAAGAAGTTACGGAGGCGCATTGGTGCGATGGTGGAGATGTTGCCAGTAGAAGCCAGGAACTCGGAGATGTAGTCGGTTGAGCTTGTGCTAAAGGCTGCTGCCGCGAAAGAGTATGCAATGAAAGTGGGAATCCATAACCTGATACCTCGACGAAAGATACTGGAGGCACCGACTTCGCGAGTCTTGTTGGCGAGATATGGCAAGCAGATAGTTCGCGCAGAGAGGAAGATAATCCATGAGTAGATCAGAGCCTCGTTGGCGAAGAGCACTGAAAAAGACTTGCGAAGTACAACCTGGTATGTCGGGCCGTCAACGTTCTTCGAGTCCGGGAGGGCGGCTGGGAGGAATGTCTGGAAGAAGACGAAGAGGAAAGATTGGAACACGAGTAGGCCACGGAGCCCAATGAGGTAGTTCTGGTCAATCGAAAGGCTAGTCGTCCCTTGCGGGGTTGACGACGAAGGGAAGAACGCCTTGAGTTTGGACGGAAGGGTAGGCTCCATTGTTGCAGACATCTTGCTCAGTACCGCGAGTAAAGGTAAGAAACTTGATGGTAGAAGAGGAAGAGCAGCTTACCAACAGGGTAATTTACCCTCAACCTCGATCTCACACGGACAACAGATTGAGCACAAGCCCATGGCATTCATGCGCAGCAGTAGCACCAAGTTCCATAGCCAAGATACCCCCGGGGGAGACCCGAGATCAGCACCTTGGCCACCAGAACGCCCACGTACCTGAAGGCAACTTTTCTTTCCGCAACTAGCACAACATTCACCTACCGAGCACGGGAAGCGTTGAGCTTAGCTGCAACGCAAGCTTCCGAGTAGCCCTCAGGTGCATGCACGCCAAGGTCTAGCCATGCTTTTTGTGGCGTTCTCGACGTGCCGCTGTGAATCTGTTGATAAGCGTTGACCCTAGTTGAGGCTGGTAGCGGGTAACTTTCGCGGGTTACAATAGTTTACAAATTTGTGCAAGCCCAACCAGTCAGCATACGGACAGCTGTTGATCGTTATCTTGTCCTAGGATGTTGGATTGACGACCTTGAGATTGTGTAACAGTGCAGTCCTTGTCATACATATCCCAGACGCACATCGTGACTTGCTCGATGAAAAGCATCCTGCTCTCTCAACATGCCGGTGAACGGCCTTCCTCAGGACCTTCCACGTGTGGCGCACGGGGCAGCACTACCTACACCTGTCAGTTACCGCCTCAACACCTGAGGTTGTCTGTGCATCCCGAGTCCTATCCGTGCGATAGGCCATAAAGGGTCATGAACTTCAGACATTTGCAGAAAACATAGGGGCTGACTCGTGCTTTCGAACCGAAAAAGGAAGGTGAGGGGACACGAACAACGAGAGCCCACTGAAACCATTGACTGGCCGAGAAAAATGCCGTGTCGAATTTTCCTAGTAGGTAAGCGGATGGTTCCGCTGACTGACGATGTTGTGCTACCCGCCATGTGTTATGTGCTGGATAGCAGCATCCCACGCGGGCCTAGGGAACGCTTGTGAAGTGGATCTATGCGCTAGTGGGCGCGTGTCGATCGCCCCGCATAGTCGACTTGTAATATCCTGACCACCCCTGATGCTGTTGATTATTTCCTTTTCAACGTCGCTAGGGTGATGTTTTCTGGCAGGGCGGTAGGATGCAGGGACCGTTTCAGTAAGGTGCTGGGCTTTGGCCTTGTTTCGTGCTAAGAATTTACTTATCTTTGAACCTTACCTTGATGGATACAAGGCGTGTCGGATCGGGATCTGAAGCGCCGACGTGATCTTGCTGGGATAATGCGGTTCTTCCGTGTTCCTGCTGCATTGCCGCGCGTTGCTTCATGGATTAATTTTCTAGTCGTAGTCACCGAGAAGACATCGTGATAGAGATTGGTCAATGAAGCAAGCTTATTGGTAGATGAGAGGAGTCCACAATCATGAGAAACCTTCCGTAACAGAATTCTTCCGAAACAGTAGTGATCACATGAGGAATTCGCAGGAACAGCAATGATAATTTTGAGTTGTGGGAATAGTGATTATAGTGATATTAATCGTGTATTATATACTGGAGCGTGACTCATTATAGCCTCGCCACTGATGGCTTCTGGGTCTTCATTCCATTATCCAGAGAGTGCATCTAATGTCCTGCGCCCCCTTCCTTAATATATATATATACATAGACAAAAAAGAAATTGATAAAGTGTGATGTGGTGTTACTTCCTGGCTGTTGGGTTCCAGGAACTGTAGTTGACAAGCTGACGAGCATGACCGTATAGACCGATCGTGGCGTTGAGAATAAGATAGAAAGGATACAGAACTGAAAAGAGAATAATCATCCTCCGAGAGATGTACTCGGACTTGACCTGGTTGGTAATCCAGAGCGTAGCAATCAAGCAGACGATACTGTGACACGACACTGTTAGCGAGGTACAAATTTAATCATGCAGATGCTGTACTAACCTGATGATGAAAAGCCACTGTGATACAGGGTATTGGAAATAGACCAGCTTCCACAGCTCGTCCCAGGAGGTCGGAAACTTGACGATAATGAATGACGCGACGAGACACGTGTACTGGGTAACCAGATAGTACGAAGACTCGCGGATGAGCAGTAGTGACAGTACACCGAAGCGGGCAGTGAAGCTACGCTTGGCATGCTCCTCGTGCAGCGGATCCTTGACTCCGTTCCAGACCATCTTCATGTGACGCATACTCGCTTGAGCCCAACCCTGAGCCCACCGGAGACGTTGCTTCCAGAATGCGCCAAAGGTGGTGGGGGCCAGCTCGTACGAAGTGACATTGAGATCGTGAACAGTCTTCGCACCTTTGGAGAAGGCGCGGAGAGCAGAGTCAATGTCCTCGGTAAGCATAGTGTCGTCCATCTTCAGATCGCGCAGTAATGAAGTGCGCCAGTAACCATTAGAACCGCAGAAGAGACCAAAACCCCACATAGTAGAGCGACCCGGGTGAGAAACAGCGTAGATCTTGTCAAACTCGACAGCGATCATGTTGGTCATGAAGCTATCATCGGAGTTGAAGACGATGCAACGACCCTGAACAATGTCAACCTGCTTGTCAGCGACGAATCGTTCGGCAGCCCATCTGGGCGAGTTCGGGTGGGGGTAGTGGTCGCAATCGTAGATGGCGATGATGTCCGATCCAGTGTCCAGCGTGAAGAAGTAGTTAAGATTGTCGGCCTTGGAGGTGGAGTTGGGCACCTTGATGACCCTTGCGTGTGGGAAGCGCTGCGGAAGTTCGGCTAGCTCGCTCTCCAATGGCTCGATTGCTTTCGGGGTGTTGTAGAGGATATTGATGCGTATCCTGTTCGAGGGGTAGTCAATCTGCTCAAGCGCATAGAGAGCGCGATCCATGATGATGTCCTGCTCGTTGGGTAGGTAGGCGACGATGAGCAGATCGATGATTGGTAGCTGATGGTGCGGCGTAGGGAACAGCCACTCCTTCTCCTGTGCCTGGGTGACAATCTCTCTTGCCTCACGACAAGGAGTGATGCTGAAGAATGCCTCCAGAACAGTTGTACCGGCGATGTAGAAGTTGGTGCACATGTAGATAAACCAGAAGATGGCAATCAAGCTGTTGCTGCAGTACATGTACAGACATACTGAGAAGACGTAGTATGAGGCGACCAGACCGAAGGGCGTCCATTCCGAGATGAACGATGATGTGCGCCCGGGGATCTCGGAAACGCTCAAACTGCTCTTTGGGGTTGACTTCTCGTTGACCACAGGAGAGGAGACCTCTCCAACCTCGATCACGCAGTCCTTCGTAGAGTCTGACATCTTGAAACGAGTGTATGATGCGACTGTCACGGTGGATGGGGGGGTAGTCAAAGCGAGTGGTGACTATGATGGAGGGGGTGGGACAACTTGTAAGGAGCAGATACAGAACATATATTCGGGCCTTGATTGTACAATCTCTTAGTGCATTGGGTAAACACTGTGACCATCAATCAACGAACGGAGAAGGGGCAATACCGCCGAAGGGTTCATGTCGAAACCGTCATTACCGCCCGTAGGAGCTGGTCTCCATGCAAGATTCGTGCTCTACTGAGATCAGCATTACCTAGCATCAACAATGCCAAGATGTGACAATGAGGTTGGAGTGGGTCAGTCCTGCACGTTGATCATGTCGACCCATGTGCATCTCTACAGCTCGGGAATGGTGAATATGCCAAGTCACATGTCAAACCCACGCTCATTTGTGCGTCCGGCCAACGGTATGCTTTTTGCCAGTAGGCCGCAGTTTGATCCACGTCACCGAACTGCTTGTGTATACTGGATTGGGCGGATCTGGGAGAATTCACCTGGAAGGCGACATGCCAGCCGCTATCTTGCGTCGCATGGCCCCGGTACCCGGTGTACATGGTATTACTGAACCTGCAGAAGCTATGCAGAAACTGTGCAGAAGCTGACTGCAAGAGCTGGAAAATTGGGCACTTTCCTCGGCATTGACACGACAACGCGTTCCCGCAGCGGCATGGTGAGTGCAGCAAGCAGCGCTGGGATTGATGAGTGTAACACCGACCCTGGTCGTTCCGGAAACGACTGATAGCGGTCGATGCTAGCAACGAAGATCAACGATCGAAACTGGGATGGTGATGAAGTTTCCTCAACAAAGATGAGCGCGGGATGCATTGGGACATCGAAACGTCTGTGCTAGCGCCGACGCACAGGTGCGTTTGGGCAGGTGTGCGGCGCACGTTTCCGACCCACCGACAGCGGGGGCACGGCATCTTCCTCAACCTTCTTCTCTTCTGCACCTCATACGGCGGCTAGTTAGCCCCATGCCACGACGTTCCAACCTACTTGCTATCGAGTACGGGCCTGCCAAGAAAAGCTTGCATACCTTTTTTGGCCCTGTTGCAGGGCCGCGCACTCCCCGCTGAGGCAACGCTCCGATCATGACCCCCAAAGGGACGGGCTAGGGCTATGTCCCAGATAGGGGACTTTTCGAAGCGCAACGACCTGATGCCAATGTTGGTCGGAAAAGCATCGCGGCTCCTCTCCGCCCGGCGAGAATTGTTGCAAGCTTGTGCCGGGGTCTTTACAAAGGCCTTGCACAGCTAGCTGCATGCATATGTTGCAGACAAATACTGCCTCTCCAATTTGAGCAGCCTGTTTCGCACTGTTTTCTGTTCAGTCATTCACTCTTCGTCATGTTCAACTCTCATTTGCTCGGTCTTGCCTTTGTGCATATCTTGCCTGCGCTTGCCGATGTTACGCGTGGGCAGGACAGCTGTGCCTGTGGTTTCTACGACAGTCAAACCCAAGAGCTTTTCACCGACTCCATCATCGTCTACTTCAACGAGACCAACCAATTACCAGGCGAATTTATTGCTGAAGACTTTACTCAGAACTATGCGAAAGACTGGGTCCGTTCTCTGCTGTAGCATGTGCTTGCGAACCACCTGCTAATGCCTTTTAGAATGCTATCTACCGCGAAGGTGCCTCTCCCGAAAACTTGAGATTCAACAATAGCGATTCGCTTCAGCTTGTTGT